GCCCCGATGCGCCGATCCGCTCTACAGAGAATCGTGATATTGTCGGAGCTTCCACAGCTGAGCCAACTACTCTACCCACGCCTCGGCCAAAGCTCGATGTATTTGAAGGGAAGCACGTCATGCTTTCTACCGACCTTGGGATTGGTTCGCACTTATTAGATTCGATTACAGAGATTATCGAGGAAGGCGGAGGTACAGTCACGTCCGATGTTTCCAAGGCAGAGGTCTTGATATGTCGCTACAGAGAAGGTTTTGCATATCGCGTGGCGTCGAGGCTGAATAAAGAGGTTGGAAACTTATCTTGGCTTTACCATTTGATAACATACAACACCTGGACCTCGCCCCTGCGACGATTGCTGCACTACCCTGTGCCGCGAACTGCGATCCCAGGTTTTGAAGGATTCAAGATCAGCCTGTCCAATTACGTTGGGGAGGCTAGAGCTTATTTAGAGAATCTAGTCGCCGCATCAGGCGCAGAATGTACCAAGACCTTAAAACAAGACAACACACATTTGGTGACTGCCCATGGAAACAGTGAAAAGTGCTCTGCAGCAAAAGAATGGGGATTGCATGTGGTCAATCACTTGTGGCTCGAAGAGAGTTACGCAAAGTGGAAGCTTCAACCGGTTTCAGATCCTCGGTATACGCACTTTCCTCGACGGACCAACCTAGGCGAGGTGGTCGGTCAGACACGGCTGGACAGGGGTGTTCTCGAAAGCCTCTTTTTCCCTTCAGAACACAAACCCGAAGCTGCCACAAGTCCGCGGCGAGTCATGCAGAATAAGGATCAGAATGCTACAACCGGAAAGGCGACAGTTTCCGTGCAGCCGCCAGAAGCGAAAGAGCCGGAAGATGACGGAGGCTTCTCGGATGCAGGTAATGCAACACCAGCCGGCAAGTCACGGAAACGTTCCGATAGTAGGAAGCTACAGACGCCTGCGCGCACCCGACTTACTTCGGAAGGCAAGGAGAACGACACTCCATCCTCCACAAGCAGTCGGAAGTCCAAGGAAGCCGCGGCTGCCCGTCTCCATGATATTGCTCCGGATATTGCTTTGTACGAAAAGGAAAAGAAGCGTGTTGGTGGTGTGATCTATGGAGGTCGCAAAAAGACGGATGAGGACCGCGTTACACTTAATGTTAAGAAGCGAAGATCGCTCGAGCCTGAGGCCAAGAGCGATGAGGACGAAGCAACAGAGGCAAAGAGGCAGAAGAAATCAAAGCCTCCCGTGACAATGCATCTATTAATCACGGGGTATCAAAAGTGGGTAGGAAACATGAAGAAAGAAGATGCAGACAAGGTTCGTGGAACTCACCTCAAGTTATTACGGCTTTGTTCGCCGCGGGACAGAAACTAATAACCTATAGCGACAACTTCGGGAACTTGGTATCCAAGTTGTCCAAGATGCCCGGAAATGTTCTCACCTTGCTGCCCCGTCTATACTTCGAACTCCTAAGTTCGTCAACGCACTTGCTTATAGCCCAATGATTATTAGCACCGATTTCATCACAGCATGCCTTAAAAAGAACGAACCTTTAGACCCTGCCGGTTTCCTCTTGGAGGACAAGGCTGCAGAAAAGCGATTCGGGTTCTCTCTAGAGGTAGCCACAAGCAACGCTAAGAAAAACAAGAACAAGCTTTTGCAGGGATATCAGATCTATTGTGTCGAAATCATTCGAGGAGGTTTTGAAGCCTTCAAATCCATTGTTGACACCAATGGCGGAAATTTTTCGCTCTTCCGCGGACGCGTCTCATACCAACCACAACGAGAAGAGAGTGATGATGACAGCTCCAGCGACGATAACTGGGGACGGAAAGAAGTGTACCTACTCAGCAGTGTGACACCCGAGCACCAAAGACTATGGCCACGGTTCCGGCAGATGGTTCAAGGTATTGGCAAAACGCCACGGATTGTGCGCGTGGATTGGCTTCTTGACGTTGTGATGTCGCAAGAATTGCGTGCAGCAGATGAGTATGAGTTGAGTGAAGACACGGCTGACAAGATGGAGGAGTAGGCCCATGTCTTGGCGGGAGTTAGAGTGTTCCTGCAAAACGATTTTGTTTTTGCTTGTCCAAGCTTTTCTGGGACTCTCGGGGTTCTTGACCTGCGGAGTGATTCTTCTGTGTATATTCTGGAATTATCATGTAGAAGTTACTTGTCGTATCCGAGCGATTTAATGAACAGCCATGATGACAGTGCATGATTTCAACGCCTGCGCTAGATAAATGCTTCCATCAAAAAAACTTTACGCCTTCCTGGCCCTCATTGCCAAAAATTTGAGCCTTGCCCCGTTTCACAAGGACATTGAGCGACTTCATCATAACATCTACATCCATGCCATGCCATTCTATCGAGCGTCAGTAGACCGCGCAAACCCCGGAACATCCACACAATACCTACCTTGTGACATAGTTGCCTCCCCTTCAACCAACTCATAAACCGTGAAAACCACATTCTTTTGTCCGGTATTCTCAATCTACTCCCGGCACCAAGCATCAGCTTCCAATCGTTTGCCCGCCCTGGAAGATAACATACCCAATCTGCCAGAATTCCCGCCCACTCCTCCGGTCTCCTCCACCAAACCCAAGCAATCGTCTTATTCGCCCCATCAATCCACTCTGCTCTCCTACCTCCTCCGCCCTTCTCTTCGCTCTCTGCCATCCAGTCCAGGATATTCCGCGCCTCAGACAGTGTAATTCGTTTCCGCAACGTGGAATTATGGAATAGCGGTGACTCGATAGCTTCTATTAAGGAGAGACGGTATGTTCGGTGGTGGCGACACCAAGATTGGATTAGTAGCGACCATTTTTGAAGCTGTGAGAGTCGTGTTGTGCTGTTCGGCTGGGGCGTGAAGAATGGGGGGAAGGAGTAGGTCGGCGGGAATTGAAAGGGGGTTGAATTAGACATCTCCTTCCCTTCTCTAGATTTCGCTTAGATGCGCCGTGGTTTGACCAAATGAGCCTGTTGTATGTTTATAGAGAGTGTAGTATGTTTGGAGATATTGACGTGCGGAGGGGTTGATAACAGTTGATAGATAGGTGGGGGAGCTGGGGTGATACCGCTTTGATCAGTGATGAGACGGTTAATGAGCTGATAAATGATAGTGGGAACTGCAAAAAGTATTCGGGTAGCTATACAGTAACGAAGCGTATAACACGATTCCAAAGCGAAAGTCGTTGAACAAGAATCAAATGGTGGGAGATTGGTGAAGTTGAATCAAAGTCACTGACAAGCATGCATGTGGGCTTTATCTCCGGGCCCCCATAACCTTAACTCCATCTCGAAATAAATTTCCGCACCTCATCCGATCGCATCACAGTCGAATGCACCCCACCTCCTCCACAACGTCCATCAATTGTCTCTTTACAGCCCTACTTCGCGGGCCAATTTCGGCCATAACAACATAATCGATCATAATCACAATGTCCACTCAGCCGTTCAAGCGCCAAAAGCGCGATCAATACCGCCAAAAAGCGGCGGCCGCAGCCGATAAAGACACGGGCAAGGTTAAACTGCCCCAGAAGAAGTTCTATCGGCAGCGTGCACACGCCAATCCCTTCTCAGATCATCGATTGGATTAGTATGTTAATCTGTTAATTGCGTGCACGCATGGGTTTTGTGGGTGCTAACTGAACGCTCTAGTCCGCTCAGCCCGGCGCATATGGACTGGTCGTCGCATTATCCGGCGTTTGTCAACCCTGATCCTGAACAAACGAATCTGGCAGATGCGAGAAAACTTTTGAAAGATGTCGAGGTTGTGGATATTGGATGCGGGTTCGGTGGATTGCTTATTGGTCTTGCGCCGTTACTACCTGAGACTTTGATACTTGGTATGCTCTTGATCCGGTCAATCTATTGATCCTATCCTGCAGCACTTTTCGGCTTCTGTTATAAAGGAATTTGGACTAATGATTAACTAGGTATGGAAATCCGCACCCAGGTTATCGAATACGTAGAAAACCGTATTCAAGCACTCCGAGCCCAGCAGAACAAACTCAAGAACCCCTCTACAACCGCCACCGATTCCCCAGCACCGTCAACTCCTGCCGAAGTGGCCACCGATGAGGCCTCGCTGGATTCAGCCGCCACCCCCGAAACATCCAATAGCCTTGTGCCGGGCGGGTATCAGAACATCAGCTCCCTCCGCAGCAATACCATGAAGTTCTTCCCCAACTTCTTCCGCAGACACCAATTGTCCAAGATCTTTATTTGCTTCCCAGATCCTCATTTTAAGGCCAGGAAGCACAAGGCTAGAATCATTTCTGAGAACCTGAATGCTGAATATGCCTACGCGCTGAAGCCTGGGGGCCTTTTGTATACGATCACTGATGTGGAGGAATATCATCATTGGGTTCTGAGGCATTTCCGAGAGGAAGGTGAACAGCAGGCGAGTGAAGGTGGAGTGAAGGATCTCTTTGAGCGGGTGTCTGAGGAGGAATTGGCAAATGATCCCTGTGTGGAGGTCATGAGGGAGTCTACGGAGGAAGGCAAGAAGGTCACTAGGAACAAGGGAAACAAGTATGTGGCTGTTTTCCGTCGCAAGGCCGACCCTGAATGGCCTGCTTGATATCTCCTACTTATCTCCATTGCTGCTTCTGGCTATGGTGTCTTATACTAGCGATTCTATGCGGTTGGATGCTAATACACGAACCCCTGATATATGTATATAGTAGTTTCAGTTACCAAAGCCTATTAACCCGAAAAAAAAGACCTAGCTAGAAACCAGTTCCGTGACCCTGTCCATAGCTCAATGGCGCCCAAGACTGCCCAACCCCAACAAGTACGACAAGCTGGTAGACGCTACTAGTATTTGACATACACTCACTCACTTGACGCATATTCCCGCTTGCTGCATATGCAATAGTTGACATAGATTGTAATGTGCATAATATACCCAAAAGAAAGAAAGAAAGAAAAACAAAAACACAAGACTCTACTCCAGCGCCCAAGATGCTGCGAACAGTTACAAGCACTGTGCGGAAGTCAATAAGGCTTGGTCTAAATGATAAACCGTGTCTTCTCGGCGTTTCTCGTGCAGTCGTTATCGAATCCGAGGTGATGCCTTAAGTCGTATGCTCTCGCATCTTTCGCATACAGGTAACTGGACTGGGCCTCCGATGATGCGGCCTTTTGCTGTTCTTTTCGGTTCGCCTTCTCGGACAAAATATCGGCCGTCCGGCCCAAACCCGGCACTACATTCGTGACAGACAAAGCACTCATCATGCCACTGACCTCCGACAGCTGAGATGACAACATCATCAAGTACTGGTTTTTTGCACCCCGAGCATCGAGGAGAAGTGCGCCGGGAATGGCATTGAAGACACCATGCAAAACCATCCTTTTCTACAAACGGGGTCTCATGGTCAAAGGGCTGTGGGAAAATATAGTTAGCATATTATCACTTGGACTTCAGGCTCTTAGGTTGGTCGTACATCACCGCATTCGGCACAAAAGAAGTGGCCGACATGCCACTCAGCACCACATGCTACAACCACTTCTCCTTCAATAGGGGTCTTGCAGCTCTTGCATCTCGGGCTGAACATTTCATGAAAGTCAAGATGACAATAGAACCTCAGCAAGCGGGCCTCCTCGTCGGCTTCCGAAACGGCTGCCAGTCGTTCCTGACGTTTCGCATCGGGTTCTTGGTAGAAGGCCACACATTCAAGCGGTGTCTGACAATGATGGCACATGAAACATTCTGGATGAAAACGCGATCCGGCAGCAGTGACAATTTTTCCAGAAATCGGAAGAGCGCATGATTCACACGTCGCCGTTGGGACACCAGCCCGACTGTAAGTTGATAGCCAACGGTTCTGCAGAGCCGATGATGGAGATTTCCTCTGGAATGGATTTGAGCGTTTGCTGCTGCTGGGTGAGGTCGGGAGAGAGCTTTCATCTTTCTTACGATCCTGTGACGACCCGGCCATCTCAGAAAGAGTAGGTGGCTTGTCATCTGGTAGGTTAATCACTGGGATAGAAGGCGCTTCAGATATCTCAATTGTGGGAGCAGCAGGTGCAGGGGGTGGTGTTGGTGAAGCGGATTCGCGCGTTCCGACGTCGATACCTTTGCCTGGGGACTGGGCTTCGGTGGGCTTCCAGGTTGGATCAAAACTCACAATCGGCCGGCGGCACGATCACTCACAGCAGTTGGCATGGGTAGCCTTGTACTTCGGTCTTTGAGCTTCTTACTTGTCGCTGCTCGAATTTCGTCACTTCGAATCTCAATTCCATCTTTTTTCGGGATGGCTTGTTCATCATTCGGATTTGCCTGGGGAAGGGGATCGTTGGCCTTATACTCAGGATTTCTTGACTGCGTTGGGGGATGCTTATGTAGTTCAAAACGAGACAGTTTATCGACGAATGAAAGGCTGCCAAATCGGCCAGAGAGAGGTCTCGAGCCTCGAGGCACGGCATTACGTGGTTTGACTTTTAAGGCTGACGAATCGGATCTTGAGAAATCAGGACGTTCATCGTCCATATGCTGAGACTCCCCAGGCTCTTCATATATGTGGTCGTTGGGGTTTCGAAAAACACCTTTTGACGGTCCATTGCTGATACTCCCGAGGCCCAGTCCGTAGCCACTGCTTGTTCGTTTTGACGGACTCCCGTTTTGAGGCAAGGAAAAGTCAACTTTGAGATTCTTTCGGAGTGTGCCATTCTTTCTGGGGCTGGAATTTGGTTCGTCCGAAGCAGGTTGCTGTTCCTCAGCACGTTTGCTGGGTGAGTCCGTGTAGTAGTCTGACCTGGGACGATAACTGTCCCCCTGTGGACTTCTGGAAGCGGGAGTATGACCAATTAAAACGCTACTCCTATCTGATCCTTGACTGGACCTTTCCATATCGGGATTACGATAAGGAGCGTATGGATTCTTGAAGGGCAATCCAGGGTTTTGGTGCATCCAAACCAGTTCCGTAGCCTCATCTTGGGCAGCTTGATGGAGGCGAATGTCATCTTGGATATCCATCTCTTGCAGTGCATTACGGAGGGATTGAGCTTCCTCCCTTTCAAATCGACGCCGGTAACTCTCGCGATATGCTGTGTTTGGAGATGGAGGGCTAGGACGAGAGAAAACCCTCGTTGGCGAGACATTCTTCCGAACGGGTACCATTCGGGGTTCTTGGACCAGCGGTCGTCCAGCCGGACTGCCTATGGATCCTCGAGAAGATACAGGACGATGGTTAGATAAAGAACTAGTAGCGCGGGGCAGCTCCCTATCGCCCGCTGTAGTGGTTGACGGCATCCTCGAATGTGAGTATGAAGACATCGCTGATGCTGCCCTTGGCGGGAGGTCCTCTCGAGGATTCGACTCAGCTGGCGTCGTAGGGAGTGGCCTCGATCCACCTGGGCGGGTTGGTCTATTTGTGCGGAGGTCCTTCAGATAATTTGCTATACAGTGAAGATTAGCCACATGTTAGTATCCAGGAGATAAGTTCTAAAAATAAAAAAAATCCGATCACACCTTCAACACCTTGCAGAGTGAAGAATGCCATTACGCAGCTAATAATGTAGACTTACCAACCTGATTGTCGGACATGTATGATGGCCCGGGAGGAGAGACCTTCCGTTGGCCATCTTTGGTCTTGTTATGGTGCAGATACGGTCTATACATGGTGTGGTGTTGGCCTGGAAGAGAGTCTTCAAGGGAAAGGTATCCTGAGAGACATCAGAATCGATTGATGTGTTGTTCAGCTATGAAGTCAGTTTCCCATATCATTGATCAGTGAGCCAATAATGTTCCAGAAGGTGGCTGGGGTGGGCACAATGATAGATTGGGCTAGAAAGATCTCTTCAGCCCCGCTGGGAAGATTAGAGTATCATCACAAAGAGATATGCTTAAAGTCTGTTAGTCTTAGATGGAAGGAAAGTCGGAATTGATTAATCAATAATGTTCTGTAGGGTTAGTCTGTCTGGCATTGATCGGAATGATTTTCAGTTGATCATAACAACCGTAACAATGGGCATTTGACGGCCTGGATGACTGAAAGGGGAAACAACAACAACAAATCAGTGCAAACAGTGCAAACGCCGGTTTCACATGGTCGTAAAGGCAACGCGGGGATTATCTCAAGGGACTAACCGCAGTAGGCAGCATAACCCTAAGACCTAACATGGTCTCTACAATGGGTCAAGCGTCATCGGGCATCTCGCATTCAGAATACTCCGATGTACTATCTTTCGGGCATTTCTATCTTGGATAATACAGGGAATACATGCCGCAAGCATCAAGCAATGAAATGAGCATATTATCCTGAACCATGTGGCACACGTGGATCTCTGCAGAGCCACTCGATCTCTTTTTGTACTGTACGACTTGTCCTCTGTTGGCACAATGAGACCTCTCTGGAGCTTACCAACCAAATTGATACCCCAACTTTCTCCGGATTTCACTCCGTCTCCAACTTCCAAGCTTTGCTCCACCGGCTGCTCGGCATTACATCCGACCTCAATTAATTTTCTGGTGTCATTAGCCCAATGACGGCGTCTGGGACTGCCGCGGCCATTACCGCCGCCCAAGGAATCCTTGTCGGCAGGATGCGATTATCAGACTGTCGTAGCCTTTCTTGTCGAATGCATGACACATAAACTTCGACTCTTACTAGTTCATGTTCGCTTAGTTTCTTGGAGTATTTTACCCTAGCCTTCTCTCGGTTTAATCTATAAGGTCCATTCCTTCATGGGCACAGGAAAGCTCTCATGTATAATAAGCGGAGGGAGAGACGCAAAATCACACTTTACTTTTATCTATTTCTGTCGCACGAATGGCAGACAACACTCCTATCGATATAGTTCGCTCTCGAGATTATGACCGTGAGTTAATCTCGCAAGATCCACTATATAGAAAAGACCAACGTCAAGATCAAACCGAGCTGGAAGAGCAGCAAAACGCAGCTCCGGAAGACCTAGAAGAGAAGTATCAACGTGATGTACCCCCGGACGGTGGCTATGGATGGGTTTGTGTCGCCTGTGTCTTCTGGATTAATGCACATACGTGGGGAATCAACAGCGTCCGTCTCCCAAGCTTCATTGTCCCTTAATAAAAACACAGGATAGACTGACCGCTAGTTAAGAGCTACGGTGTATTCCTCTCTTATTATCTTTCAAACGATGTATTCCCCAATACATCTGCACTCTCATACGCCTTCACCGGTGGCCTGAGCATATCCTGTGCTCTTTTGGTTGCTCCTTTGGCCACCCATCTGATCCATGTCTACGGGACACGTCTTGTGTTAAATATGGGCGTCTTCTTTGAGACACTCTCGCTGATTGGATCATCCTTCGCCACGCAAAGGTGGCACATCTTCCTTAGCCAAGGCGTCTGTTTCGGATGGGGGATGGGATTTCTTTTCGTCGGAAGCGTAGGCATTATCCCTCAATGGTTCCAGCGACGACGGAGTCTCGCAATGGGCATCAACGCCGCCGGGTCCGGTCTGGGAGGACTAATCTGGTCCCTCGCAGTAGGCTCCATGATCCCTCGACTGGGACTTAGCTGGGCCTTCCGAATCTTGGGCATCATTGCATGCGTCGTCAACCTAATATGCGCAAATCTCCTAAAAGACCGAAACAAAGACGTCGGAAGCCGTCACAAAGCCTTTCACTTCCCACTATTCAAACGCCCCGAATTTCTCCTTTTTCTCGGTTGGGGCGTCTTCAGTATGTTAGGCTATGTTGCCCTCATATTCAGCGTAGCCAATTTCGCCCTCTCGGTTGGCCTCTCATCCCATCAGGGTAGCATTGTCAGCGCCTTGCTAAATCTCGGTCAAGGCCTTGGTCGGCCCTTTGTGGGCATGTTCAGCGACAAACTCGGCCGCATCAATATTGCTACAATTCTTTCCTTCTGTTGTGGCTTGTTCTGTCTGGTCATTTGGGTTTTTGCGCGCAGTATGGGTGTCGTTTGTTTCTTTGCTGTCCTTGTTGGTACCGTGGCTGGTACGTATTGGGCAACTGTCACTCCCGTGCTTGCGGAAATCATTGGTTTGAGAGACCTGCCCAGCGGTCTTAGCATTACTTGGATCATTCTCGTCGCTCCTACGACTGTTTCTGAGGCTATCGCTCTTGTCTTGCGGGATAACAACTCCAACGACTCTGTTTACTTGAGGGTCCAGATCTTCACTGGGTTTATGTACATCGGTGCCTCGTTGTGCTTGTGGGTAGTCCGAGGTTGGAAAGTGCAATATATCAACCGGGAAGCTCAACTGAAATCGTCTGCTACGGTGACAGCAAATAACAACGGTGTCAAGGTCGGAAGTTCCCATGGGGTTGGGGATGAGAAGAGGAACCAGCCGGCAGTGGAACCTCCAGCTTCCGATCCTGTACCTGAGGTTAAGCTCTGGTCGCCAGTTGCACTACTTCGTGGCATGGTTACATTGAAAAGAGTGTGACAGCAGTAGTCCAGGTAAATCCACTTGGATAGACATTATTCAGTCTAATAATGTAAATGAAAGAAGTATATAAGGACCAGACAGTAATACATGATCTAACTATAATACCACTAGACTCCGGATAATCTCTTTTTTATGACCAGCACCCAAATGCCATCCTTACACATACTATGTTTATCTTTGTGCCTAATTTTGAGTTCCCAAAATCAACACCCGAACCCTTCTCTTTCCTGCACCCCGGCCACTCTCTTCCTTCACGGAGCTGACGTTGACCTTGACTCTCTGGAAGAGTTCCACGCTCATACCTTGATCAGAGTGGCCCTTATCCGAGACTTGAAGAGTGTATTCCTCATTGTCAAATTCGCTCTCGCGACGGACTACTAGTTCTCGCCGTTCCTCAACAGAGCGTAGGGCAGAATCGCCCTTGAGCACAAAGTCTTCCAGACGCACAACACCCTCGATACCAAATCGCGGAACAAACACCACCACGCCGTTCTCAAAAACGCGCATGACGTAACCTTCTTCTTCGATACCGCCATCTACTCCGTTAGCGGATAGCTTTTCGCCGCGTGCTTTTAATGCCTGGCCAACGTAGTACTCGATGCTGGCTCGGCCAGCATGTTGGGCATTGCGGTGGCGGTAGTTGATATTGCGGCAAATGTCTTCAAGACGGTTGCGGGTCATAACACCTTCAACGACTGCCCGGCCGTCTTCGCCCTCATATCCAATAGCAGACGCAAGTTGTCGATGGACTAACAAGTCGGCATATCGTCTAATTGGCGATGTAAAATGCGTGTAGATAGGAGAGGCTAAGCCATAGTGACGGAATTCCGACTCAGCATGAGCACCTGCGCAGAAATACTCTGCAGATGTCATGCATCGGGTGGCGAGAATGCGGACCAGGGTGTTAAAGAAGGGGTTCTTAGCATCAACACACTGGTCAAGCGAGTCGGCCAGGGCGCGTGAGCTAGAAACATCAAGCCTCATATCCCGCTTCTTGGAAAGTTGATTAATGAGCTCTTCAAAGTTCTGAGGTGGAGGGGTGGCGTGTCGTCGTAGCATAGCAGTTTGGGAGAATGTGCTGTAAATCTTTGCCGCAACAGTGATATTGGCGTGAAGCATGAATTCTTCAACGAGACTGTTGGTTGCGAGCATAGCTTTTGTTTTGACATCCGTAAGTGGATCTCCAACCTCGTCGTTATCGGCTTCGATACGAACTTCAGGCGAGGCCAGGTTCAGTGCACCTGCATCCATACGCTTCTGGCGGAGAATCTTAGAGAACCGAAGCAAGGTGCGCATACTCTCTGTGAGTTCATCCTTTTTCGATGGATCGTCAATGCGCATCTGGGCCTGCTCGTAACTGAAGGCTTCACGAGAACGAATGACGGATTTGGTGAAGTCTGTAGAAACAACCTCAGCATTTGGAGTCATCTCCCACAGAACTGAGAAAGCATAACGTTCCACGTAAGGCTTGAGCGAACAAAGATCGGTACCAAGCAAGTGTGGAAGCATATCAATACGTTTGTCGACTAGATAGACTGTTGTACCACGCAGACTAGCTTCGAGGTCCATCGCATTGTTCGGCTTAACGAAATGTGATACATCTGCGATATGGACTCCAACTTCAAAGTTGCCATTGGGCAAAGGGCGTGCGTGAAGAGCATCGTCAATGTCCTGGCAGTTTGGTGGATCAATACTACATATAAGGAGATCTCTGAGGTCTCTCCGGCCTTTCCAGCCGATATCTTCCTTACTGGCGGGAACTCTCCAGTCATGTCCTTCTGCAGGCAGACAGTCGAGAACGGCTTTAGGGAACGGCTTATATTGTACATCGTATTCGAGTAGCAGGGCTTCTGTCTCAGCTCCCTTTGTTTCGAGCTCTCCCAATGAACGGATAAAGTGACCAGTAGGATACCGAGAATCACGATCCCATGCATCAATTGTGATGAGAATCCGTTGACCCAGCAATTCGGAGGCTTGCCTGGTGCGCACCCTAATCTTGGGTACACGCTTGTCCATGGGCAAAACGAAAACATTTTGCTGGCGCCGACCAGAGCTAGCTTGGGAACCTGTCGAGCCTGAGTCAACGTGTCCGACATACTGCCGCCAATTTCGCTTGATTACGCCCACAACCTTAGCTGTTGGCTGAGGCCTTCCTTCTGTGCTCTTTCCATGCGCTTGTCGGACCTCTTCCTGCAAGGCTTTTCGTTCCCTTTCAGTGACCACGGCCTCGTTATCCTCGGCGTCAGGATTGTCATTCTTGGTTACTGCTTCTTCATCCACGATCTTAGTGGATGGCGACTTCCACTGATCCTTAGGAAGCACTTCAATCACAACGACATCCCCAGAAATAGCTCTATTACTGTTGTCGCGACCCAGAATAAGAAGAGGCTTGTCAAATGCTGCGACGTTGACGGAACCCTCAAGATAATTGTACGGGGACACATTGAAGACACCTTGATGTAAGGTTCCAGCCCTCAATTCAGTCATTATCTTGGACATTGTATAGTATTCTGGGTAAAAAAGCTCTCCGCGTGCACCCTTGGTCTCTCTTTGTTCTCTTGACTCGTTGATCATATCGAGTAATCTGTCGGAATCCTCCAAGCCCGAGACGTAATCGGTTAACGATAGGGCTGTCACGTTCTCCTCCTTTGCCTTGCGCAAGCTGTCTTTATCGTCTGTGATAACAACAATAGTAGGCACTGTCTTCTCTTTCTTTCCCTTCTTCGCTGCGGCTCGTAAATGCTCGGTGTACCATTTTGCTACAGCACGGACGGCACGGTCATTTCTATCGTTGATCGATTCATTTGGCCCTCTCCGCACATGTGTTTCCATTCTAAATTCGTTGAAAAACAGGTAAAAGCGTTTGTCGTCGGTCTTGATCAAGGCAAGCAAGCGATTGTAGAGGGGCAGAGACTGGTTCTTAAGTTCTTCGAGAACTGTTTGAAGGATGATCACATCGTAGAATGCGCCGGTATGCTCAAATAGATCCATGCCATTCAGCAGCGCGTTCGTGTCAGGGACGAGGTAATGGCCACGAGGAAAAGCGGTTGTACCGGCGGGGTGCTCTGAAAGAACGAAAGGCGCAACTGTGTCGCATTAGCCACTAGACGCAGTGTTTTACACTTGTCTTACTCACTGTTTCCATTTGCATCCGCTGGAGCGACCGATGGACATGTTGAGCACAGCTTCGATGAGCAAGGAATATCCTGTCTCAGGTAAAGCTCTCGAACGATCTTTTGCACCTTTCCGCTTTTTGTCGACCTGACGAAGATTTTGCTGGTGACATTTGCGGTATGCGGGTCGAGGAGAAATCCCTCCGTAAGCTTTTCATATTGGCAGCTATGTGGCCTGACAGTTAGAGTCAGGTTGTTCTTATTATAAAGCTGCTCTATGTGATGTTGATGCAGTCAGTGACGTTCATTCAGTTTCGGTTCCGCTGCTGGAGCGCAGTTGAGATAAATGTTGTCCCAAAATGGGAAAGTCTCCCGATACCCCGTAGTACTCCGTAGATAACGTGCTTCACCACGGAGTAAATCATAACTACCTTCACGCCAATAGATAACATACACTCTGATACGAATTTACTACAGACAGATTATAAGTTTAAATTAAGTAGAAATGGTTATTGCAGTAAGGAGTCCTCAAGAAAACAAATAAATGAAAAGCAGCTCTAGCCACTAACTCTTTGTTAACTCGACAGGCCGTGGGGCAACTATGCTCGACTGCGAGCATGGCTGCCAATCTGGCCCAGTGTCAGACTCTGGTGCGCAAAGCCGTTGCTGCTGGAGCTAAAGTACAGTACATGCCATTGACTCGCAGGCTTCTAACTAATGCATGGCCAGGCGCTGTTTCTTCCTGAAGCGACAGACTATGTAGGTTCCTCACCAGCAGAGACAATCTCACTTGCGCGCTCTGTGCATGATAGTGAATTTGTGCTGGGTCTACAGAATGAGGCCATGCAGTCTAATTTACACATAAACGTCGGCATTCATGAACCATCCCCGGATGGTAGAGTAAAGAACACTCTTATCTGGATTAATGACAAGGGCATTATTACGCAGCGCTACCAGAAAATTCATCTATTTGATGTAGAGCTCGAAGGTGGTCCCGTACTGAAGGAAAGCGCGTAGGTTGCCCCAGGGTATACTTTGAGAAGCACAGTACATTTACTGACCATCATTTCCAGGAGTGTCGAGAAAGGAATGGAAATTCTACCTCCATTCAAGACTCCCGTTGGACGTGTCGGCTTAGCCATATGTTTCGATGTAAGTTATCGGGTTTGGAAGCCATGCCGGATGGGGTTAATTAGATATCATCTTGCAGCTGCGTTTCCCCGAAATTAGCCTGGCTTTGAAGCGGCAAAATGCCCAGCTTATCACTTATCCTTCAGCATTCACGGTTCCCACGGGAAAGGCCCATTGGGAAACACTACTACGGGCCAGAGCTATTGAAACTCAGTCATATGTGATAGCAGCGGCGCAAGCAGGCCCTCACAATGCGAAAAGAAGGAGCTATGGCCATTCGATGATTGTGAACCCTTGGGGAGAGGTCGTAGCCCAACTTGGCGACGAATATACAGAACCGCAAATCGCCTTCGCGGATATTGATTTGGACCTTCTAGCGAAGGTCAGGAGAGAAATACCACTTCTCAGAAGAACAGACATATATCCAGAGGTATAATGACCTGGCCCGTGGTAGTGGGAACTGGGCCGGGATGTCCTTAGAACAAGCTCCGTGAATAAACCGTTACCCGATCTTACCGATGAATAGAGGCAAAGACTGAAACTTGACGATAGATAGAATGCTATTTGCGATTGGACATTTGTATTCCTTGCTTTTGCGTAACTTTCTAAAGCAATCGGTGAAAGCATCCCAGAATATACGATGACAGAGTACATGCAGAATGTAAGAAGAAAAAAGAACATAGGAAAGGGAATAAAAAGACCTGTCTAGACTGGGCTGGCGAATCGTATCCGCTAGCACAGGTACAACATCTCATCCGAAACTGTTTTCCATGTCCGACCGCTCTATGTACAATGTACAAGGAAATACTGAGGACAAATATTGTCCTTTACTTCCTCTGAGCTTTCTCGGGGTCCTCCAGGATACCCTCGGCTTCCAGTCTCCGCCGTGCCTCTTCCAAGGCCCATGTTTGTATACTACCAGATAGTTAGATTTGTGCACAAATAGATTTTCTCATCTTATGTAGCATAGCAGCTTCTGCTGTTTCCAGCGAGCTTGCTAATAGTAAGCCGAGCGCAAGGGATTAACGTACGAGGTGTCTGGCTTGAAGACGTATGCGACACCGGCAACGAGCAAGCTACCAATGAATCCGTAGTACCAGACGTTCTCCCAGCCTTCCTTCACGTACTTCTGGCCAGGCTTGATACCGAAAAGCCACCCAGTCGGAGGGTCGTAGTGATCTCCATGATCAGCAGCACGGAGGTTGGTACGAGTCGAGAAACCCTGAACGTTCTGAGGTCTGCGGAAAAGGCAGCGGGCGCGAAGGCTTTGCGACAAAGTACGAGCAGACATTGCGGCTATGAAGAGTAGCGGAGAATCTAACGAATTCCTGGTCCTTGAAGTAGTCGATGATAAGGGACAGGCGGTGGCGGGTTGAGGCCCCTGTCGATTCCAAACAGGTAAGGATGGTCGGCTAAGACGTCAAATTCGGTGTTCCTTCGACCAGCGATGATAATGATCGGTCCAATTGATCAGTTCCTGATCTGACCGCTGTCGTAGAAGGCGCAGGAGGCGTTAAGTTGGAGGGGTGACGGTTTGAACAGCGGCTGATGTTCAGAAGCCGCAAAAGGCCGATGGAGTCATGACGCTAGTCCTGATCGGGTCAGCTCGCATACCGTCTTCATGCCTGCAATTTAAGGCTTATAATTTGCCTGAGGCATTAGACACCGACGCGCGCGACGCGTCTAGCGATTCCCTTATCGCTGCATCTAGAGTCCATGATTCATGCGATTGCATGCATCAAGACACAAATCCTACTTGAGTTAGATTCATGCATGTCACTTCCTTAGATTGATCTCCAGAATCGGCAAAGAATTGTCATCTCTATTCTTCATCTCAGGACGTCGACTAACAGGTATACATTCTCCGCAGGCCAGGCAGGCTTTTCAGTACTAACTATATCCACTTAAGACTAATCGAGATGCTCTGCTGCTCTCGTGCACAAGACGAGCAGCTCCAACGATGAACCCTATAAATCAGAACACCAATTCATATCCTATTTCCTCGAATTCTCGCTCTAAGCTAAATACATTTCGATACATCAGAGATGAAAACACTATTGAGAAATCACCGTCTAAGAGATCGCCGTCCAAATCGCCCATAAAGCCAGCACATACGAACAAGGAGAATCAATCGTCGTGGTTGAATGGTGTTACTCAGTTAGATCAAGCCGATTCAACTAAAAGAGAAGCTTCGGGCGATAAATCAGATGCGAAGGCAGCCAAGGAATGCCCTCAAACTCCTGGGAATAGGATTCCATTGGCAGATTTGATTAGCAATGCTGAAGATGCCATCAGCCAAGCCCCAGTGCAAGAACTTACACCTGAAGACTATGTCATTTGGCAGCATGTCCCTGCGAGCTCGAATCCAGACACGATGTCTCAAACGCCTGCAACACAAGTCAGGAAACGCCAGCATATCTCTTCCCCAACCAGTTCGCCCTTGGCTGGAAATTCGAAATGTGCAGATCAAGAGTCTCTTGATATGCATGCATCATTGCAGGGGCTTCAGCGGACTCCACAGAACGACCTCGCAACCGAACTATGGAACAACTATGTGGGTAAACTTACTGCCAACGGCAATGGAACTTTACCAACACCTCAATTCACACACCTCCTTTCCTCCTCTCCACAGACTCCCCCACCGGTTAGGACAGGTCGTGATTCCTCTGGCTTAAGACGATCGAATAGTTGCAACGCCGAATGGCCCAGTTCTAAAACTAAACGAAGGAGGATCGATGTTGGAGGCGTTGGCACAGGCCGCGGCATCTTTTCTCGGTCAAGAAGTGATGTTGTTGACTCTGGAAGTATCAATTCGTCTAAGATCAATTTTCTCGTGGAAAGGATCGAGAATAGTCTCCGAAATGCGCCAAAGTCACCGAACTCCCACATCGCTGCACCTGATTCATCGCCTTTGCCTAGACGCAAAGGCATTCAACGAACCCGGTCAACGTCCCCCATGCAAGATAGACCCGGTCATCATTCTCCATCTAAGGCAAATGGGGATAACAATGTCAATAATGTCTATTCTGAACCCCAAGGCAAAGAGCAGGCCTCTTCGTCTGAGTTCGGGGACGATGACTTTGATCAGGATTTTCTTGAACTTGCGGAAGCCTCGATGGATCCATTTGTTGATCATGGTAGCCTGCCAAGCTCAATAGATACTAGAGGAAGTGCCACGTTCCTTTCGACGAACCCTCACGAGCCACATAACGAAAACCAAAACCCCCATGCTCATGCAACGACTCTGAATTCGGAAGCGGTCCCTGAGAAGAAAACCCGCTATTCCCTCAAGAGGGTTCGCTTTGAAGATGATGACTTTGATGAGTTTTCGGATAATATAGATGATATCCTTGCTGCGTGCGATGCGGTTCCAAGTACGGAGCTTGTGAGGCCCATCCCAAAGAACAATACGGCCTCCAACCTATCTGGGCTGGATAGTGGCACGGATAACTCGTCTACGGTAATGGCGAAGCCAGTCCGAGGGGTGAACATGCCACAGGAAGAATCCTCTGGTGACGAATTTGACGACGATGAATTTGACATGGAGGCTATCGAGCAGTCTATGAGGCAATCAGGTGCAGATGGATCAAACTATGTTTGTCACTCTTAGTGGGTATATTTACTAGATATTTGCTAAGTATATTATAAATAGAACTTTAGTCGACAAGCCATCAAACGCTACTTGATTGTTGATATTGCCGAGTCTACCTATACCACTGAAAAGGGACACCTCCAGCCAGAAAAGGTTTGCCGTCGCAGACTTTAGAAGTCCTACAGGTAGAAGCTGACATTGTAATCAGGTGTTGTTAGTACAAGATGAAAGAACCTCTCAGAAGAAAGTCGTTGTGCTGCGGGAATCATGGTTTGATAGTCCATGCTGCAACGATTCATATATTCACTTAATCGGCGATTTCGATACAGCGGGTCATTGCATCGTCAATGATTCTCACAACATGATAATTCTGCACCCGGACCATCTAGTTTCAGCGACCATTGTCGCAGATTCGATTGGTTGCCAGCGGCGTGCTGTGCTTCAGGACCGTATTAAAAACACCAGTGACATTGGAAAGCCTCAAGTATTTGGGAATATCTTCCATGAAGTCTTCCAAGAGGCAATGAAGGCCAATCAATGGGACATATCTTCACTGAGGCCCTTGGTTGAAATGGTCATTGTGAAGCATATTGAGGAACTGTACTTGATCCACATGAGCATTCCTGAAGCCATCGATTATGTTATGGGCAAAATTCCAGCCTTGATGTCATGGGCAGACACTTTCCTCAGGGCAAAGCCAAGTGTGAGTGGAATTTTCAGCAACATACGATGGTATGCGTACTAATCTTTACCAATAGGCGCAATCCCTTGTTGAAGACCGAAATAGTTCCAAGCTCCGCCTGAGTATCAATAAGCTACTTGAGGTTGAAGAACACATCTGGTCTCCGATGTATGGACTAAAAGGCAATATTGATGCTACTGTACAAGTTGCCTGCCATGATGGCGAGAGCGATAAGAATTTGGTTGTGCCCCTTGAGCTTAAGACGGGTAACAGAGACACAAATCATGCACATAGGGCTCAGACGGCTCTCTATACCCTTTTGCTTTCTGATCGCTACGGTGAGCCTAGGCCTTGTCACGAAATGTTGCGCTTATTCTAACCTGGCCTATATTTATCAGATGTGGAAGTTACATTCGGCCTTCTCTACTACCTTGAAACATCTAAAATCTTCCGAATTCGTGGCATTCGTCATGAGCTCCTCCAGATGATTCAAGCGCGAAATCGAGTAGCTGGATATATGTGCCGAAGGACCCAACTACCACCCATGGTAAAAAGGCAGGCTTTGTGCAACAAATGCTTCTCCAAGACACCTTGCTTTATCTATCACAAGCTCGTTGATGATGGCGATGGCGAATCAAGTGGACTCGGCGACGAGTTCGTGAAAGCTATGGACCACCTGACACCCAAAGATCGTGACTTTTTCCGAAAATGGGATGATCTGCTCACAAAGGAGGAGCAAAGTATGATGAGATTTAAGCGGGAGCTTTGGACATTGTTAAGCAGTGAGCGGGAGGCTCTCGGTCGATGCTTCGGCAATATTGTCATCGAGCCAGGGTCAGCCTTTCAAGACAAAGACGGGGTAAAGATAAATCGCTATCGCTATACCTTTGTCAAGAGACAGCCAACACCGTCTTTCTCTTTCACTGAGTCACAGCTCACAATTGGAGAGCCAATCGTGATATCTGATGAAAAGGGTCACTTTGCGCTTGCTAATGGCTATGTCATTCAAGTCAGTCCCCAACGCATCTCTGTCGCAGTGGATCGCCGACTGCATAATGCCAGAACCAAGTCCAAAGGTTTTGATGCGAAAATAAATCAGACATTCAGGGGCATAATGGAAATCCCCGGTGCCGATGCTGCTTCCTCAAATCCATCAAGTGAACCAGAAGAAGAGGTCGTTTACCGATTGGACAAAGACGAGTTCAGTAATGGTATGGCCATTGTTCGAGCAAATCTAGTTGCTATGATGGAAAGAGACTTGTTTCAAGCCAAGAATCTTAGGAGACTGATCGTTGAAGGATCCACTCCCACATTCCAACCCACATTGTCCGCGTACAAGATGCCTGATGCCGACAGGGCAAGCCTGAATGTTGATCAGAAACAAGCTATTGACAAAGTAATGAGCGCTAAAGACTATGCTTTGGTATTGGGAATGCCGGGGACAGGCAAGACGACAACCATTGCCCACATAATTCGGGCATTAGTGTCGCAAGGCAAAAGTGTGCTCCTCACGTCGTACACTCACACAGCAGTTGACAATATACTTTTGAAGATTCGAGATGACAACATTCGTATCTTGCGGATTGGGGCTGCCGCGAAGGTGCATCCTGAGGTTCAGCAGTTTGCCGACCTTGCGGCAGTTCCCAAAAGTACAATCGAAGAACTTAAAGGGGCATATGAGGACTCGCAGGTTGTTGCAACAACCTGTCTTGGGATCGGCCACAGCGTTTTTAGTCAGCGCATATTCGATTATTGCATTGTCGACGAAGCCTCCCAGATCACCTTGCCTGTATGTTTAGGTCCGATCCGAATGGCAAGGACATTCATCCTTGTCGGCGATCATTACCAACTGCCACCTCTTGTGCAGAATAAGGAGGCTCAAGCAGGGGGGCTCGACGTTAGTCTCTTCAAGCTTCTTTCTGATTCTCATCCGGCATCCGTCGTCAATCTTGAACATCAGTATCGAATGTGCAAAGACATTATGCTCCTCTCAAATACTCTCATCTACTCTGGGCAGCTCAAATGTGGGACCCAGGAGGTTGCTGCGCGATCTTTGGAGGTACCCAATTTCGGCGGTCTCAGGCATCTTCATTTGGACCACATCCGACCCCAAGGGCAAAGGCAGGTCTGTTTGGGTACAAGTCAGGGTCGCTGCTGGCTTCGCGATTTAGTCGACCCATCCGCCAAAACCCGCCTTGTTAACACAGACACCCTGGCCACGCCAGCCTTAGATGTAGCACAGGGGTCGCGAATCGTCAATCCTACTGAGGCAACACTCTGCGCCCAACTCGTGGAGGCCTTCATCTCTTGCGGCATACCAGCACGAAGCATTGGTGTCATCACGTTCTATCGCAGCCAACTTTCGCTTCTGAAACAGAATTTGCGCCACCACCTACCGGATCTCGAAATGCACACCGCGGACAAATTCCAAGGACGAGATAAAGAAGTTGTGGTACTGAGCTGCGTGCGCAGCAATTCAGACAGCCATGTCGGCGATCTTCTTCGTGACTGGAGACGGGTTAATGTTGCTTTTACCCGGGCACGAACAAAGCTCCTTGTTGTTGGAAGCAAGAGCACTCTTCGTGGCGGTAATGAGTTGCTAGGAAAGTATGTGAAGTTAGTCGAAGAGCAAGGCTGGGTATACAACTTACCAAAGGGCGCTGTGGAAGATCACGTGTTCGACTCTGATAACATCCATATACAACCCCAGCCACAAAAAAGATCAACGCCCAGTCCGAAGAGGAGTCCTACCTCTCAAAAGAAGGCCCGCAGCCCTCTAAGTCCAACACAAGGCCGAAATGCTCCACAGGGTCTCAGGAAGCCGGCAAAGAAGGGAGCCAAGCTGCTGAGTGGTAGCAAGGTCCTTGGGAATAGACCGGTGCTTCAGGATGTGGTGAACGACCTTATTGGGTGATTATAGCCATTCACAACTTTTACAACTTCCTCTTTCTTGGATAAGTTTCTGTTTATGGGTATTGTTTTGTTGGAGTTCTTATATACCATTCACTGGGAATTGGAATAATGACTTGGAGGGGCAGGAGCAGCTGGGACATCAAGTTTTGAACATTGGTTGATACCAATATACGGTTGAATCGATTAAATCATGCTCTATATCCGGACGGTTCTTTTCCATGCTCAAATCAATCTACATTGCAACAAACTGTATAGGGCAATGCAAAACAACTCGTACATAAGGCCTAGTATTTGAAGAGAAAATAAGTTGTATTAACTGAGATAACCCTCTGATGGCTACATGCCAGGGCATAGTTGACATGTCGGTTTTAAATCCTACTTGCTCTCGGTTATATAGGCTTAGATTTGTACATACCTAAAGCAGTGTGGGATATGTTTCATTTCTAAACAATTGAGACGCCAACATACTCCCAGCAAACACACGAGCGACCGATGGTAGATCTAGTATCAGGGCTCTTTTGCACATTATCGCCAGTTCCGCCTACAGAAGGCAATGTCAGAACTGTATAACCGTCTTTTCCTTCCACAGCTTCCCTCCCCAGGGCACTCGCGGAGAAAGCAAACCAGGCCGGAGCTTCTGCATCTTTTGGGACAGTCTCTCGCCTGATATCAAGCAGTCAGCATGCGATGCTAAGCTAACAGGGGGTTGAGGGATAAGATCAACAACATACAGTAGATTAAGGAATAGCCCCATGATCCATTTGGGAGGGAGGAGACCATGCCATTTTAAACTGACTATATCTGACGGCTTTGCTTCGTCCGCATCTGGTACGTTATAGCGACAAAGGTACGGGTCTACATCATCGCTCGCTAATACTCGAGGAGACCCGAGGGTCACCATCCCAAGCCATTCGGAAATTTCGTCGCAATTATCCTTTAATTCCTGCTCTGGCGCCATTTCTGTGACTTCAATTCCCTTGAAGGGTGGGACGAGGACATCACAGTAATCGGCGCGCACTGGTTCGCAGTCTATAATGTGAGGGTGGTTTCCTTTCAGAGAAGGATCGTCTAGTCATTCGTCAGTACGTGAAAAGAAGGGCAAAAGATATGGGCTATAGTACCGGAGGAAACACCACTCGACTCCGATGCCAGGTCATAGAAGAGCCAGGCCACGGTGTGATTGAGGACATTCTTGAAGGCCCATACTATTCTCTCAAAACATTTCTTGCCGTGAAGCATTGACGGCAGCCGCAGGTTGATCTCCACGACTGTCGGAACACGTGAGTATATATATCCAGGGTAATGGCAATTCATATAGATACGTACGATATCTTTCTTTTGCATGTTTTCTGCCCCCACTGCGGATGGGCTTCCCTGTTAGACCTGTCCGTTCAAATACCTCCTTTCCAAGCTCTAATTTCAGGACTCCTATAGGTAGGTCAGTCTATAACAGCTGCCGGATGAGTAGTGTGCCCGTAGAGGGTGTACCATACCATCTCTCAGAGTAAACACATTATCTGAGCCGGAGCGTCCCTCTGATATCATGAGAACATTTCCTATAACGTAGTTAGAATAGCCCTCATCTACAGTATCGATCTCCATCGAATGAAGTGGGATCAGTGTAACATATTCTTAGGTACCTGATTTTATATAAGTATTGAAGAAGTCCCCCTCGAGCAGAGACGACAGTGACATAAATACTCTAGCATATCGCAGCTTGGGAAGCTTAGCGTTGAATGAGCTCTCAATGGTTTTGTATGTTGCTTCAGGTAATATAACCTCCACCTGTTCATACCTGGTCAACTAGAAAATTCCACACTAGGAAAGCTGTAATGGAGAATTAAAAGGGTCAATTACCGTGTGCACAAACGGATGCCCCCAAATAGCCGAGAAGGGCGGTTTTTTCAAAGGCGGCTGTTTGGGATCGATGAAGGAAGGCAGTTGAGCCACTGCCGTGTAGCACTTCTCGCGTCTAGACGCGTCATCTTCCAGATCAAACATGGTGATTTGTCTTGGACAATCTCTATAGATATGTAGTCCTATGCACTGGGATCTTGATATCAAATCAAATGGCGTGCTGTGGTTGGTTGGAAGAATCTGTCAAAGGTTGTTAGTTTAAAGAACCACAATGGACAATTATCTCAGCCTTCTAATAATGCTTTACCTACTGTAAGCAAATCATATATGTTTCAATGAGAGAATCAACAGACCCGTTATGTTGGCAGTTCGTCAGAAACAACTTGACATTGAAATTTGATGTCTTTTGGATGTGATGGAAAAGCGGGCGTCATCTGATTGGACAATGGACCCCCAATCAATGGATTCGGCCGTCAACTTTGATTCTATAAAACTACTCTAGATCCCTTGAGTACATTCAGAAAAAGAAGATATAGCGACTATTTGGAGTGTCTTATTCATAACAAGGTTCTATATTACCGTTGTCTCTCAGTCTCTACTGAAACCTGGTCTTCTTCAATTGTTTCACGCAACTAAAATTATTCCTGTCACAAAATATATCTCGAACGACAATGGAAAAAGCGAGTTATCGACTTTCCACAGTTCAGTATAAATACACGCGCAGATTCTCCGTTGATGTCAAATTTCAATCACCGAGTGAGATATTGTGCCGAATTGGCAACCGTTGATATTGATGATGGGCATGAAGTGCTCAATGCCTAAGGCACCAAGGCATCAACTAGCTTGATCATCCGCCTTTATCATTGCCGCCGCTACTCCAAACACCGATATGCAACGAACGGTTTCTCGGTGCCACTATCTATACATTGTGGTCGCAAGTCCCGGGTAACTACCTACACCCTCTCGCGAAAGTTTCTTCCGACTCTCATCGACCACAGCCCCTCGGGGCATTAGCGTGGGTTGCCCCTACCATCGCCGCCATCACCACGACTCCGCCAGCAGGGACAGCAGCTACAAACAATGGCACCTCCCCGCCGCAATTTACTTCCCAAGGAGCGATTTGCATTTTCATTTGGAAGCCTCAAGACTCAGAGCTATCATGACCCTATTGCGCGAACGCCCGGATCTCATACGTGTGTCTCCGTCCAAGAAAACTGTTGCAGCTGCACAACACCTCTCAGAACAGGTTCAAGCTGATGATATATGTCATTCTTGGTAGAATCCGAACGATAGCATGGAACCCTACCGGTCAGCTTATTGCTACAGGCTCAGCGGACCGTACCCTTCGAATCTGGAACCCTGAGCGTGCGCAAGTCAAATACTCGACTGACCTTCGCGGTCACACCGCGGGGATCGAGAAAGTCTTATTTAACCCTGTTCGGGACTCGGAGCTTGCCAGCTGTTCATCCGATGGCACAGTACGCTTCTGGGACGTTCGATCGAAGACATGTGTGAGCCGTTTGGATGTCGGCGGTGAGGCTTTCACCTTGTCTTGGTCGGCTGATGGGAGTACAATGGTAGTTGGAAGGAAGGTGAGGAAAGCTCCTTTGAACCTCTGCAGGGTATGGACAAGTGACCGGAACTTAGACTGACTGGTATATTCTTAATCACTAGGATGATACTCTGATACCAATCTCCATCGAATCGCCTTCTACCCCAACTGTGCTCGAAAACGGAGTAATCAGTATCCCATCTACGCAGTCTCAGAAACCTATCGCAGGCCCAACCACCTATAAAGTCCTAGACTCCCACCCACAGCCCATCCAAACAAACGCAACAACTTTCTCTCATCACATTTCCACACCAACCTCGCCCGATCTTCACCTCTTCGCAACAACCGGCGAAGGCACGGTCAAAATATTATCCTATCCATCCTTCGACATCCTCCACACCCTCAACGCTCACACGTCCGCCTGCCTTTCTATAGCCCTAGCACCTACGGGACGCTATCTCGCCGTCGGCGGCAGTGACGCCCTTATCTCTCTCTGGGATACATCAGATTGGTTTTGTCGGCGCACCGTGTCTAGTAATAATGGTGGGGCCGTCCGCGGGGTGAGCTGGAGCTTCGACGGGAGATTTATCTGCGGTGCTTGTGATGAAGTAGGCTGTGGTGGTAACGGAATTGAGATCTTCCATGCTGAAACGGGCGAAAGTGTCTATACTGTTCCTACTGGTGGCGGACTGAATTCGGGCATTCCTGCCGTCGCATGGCATCCCTCACGTTACTGGCTTGCGTACTCTACTACGGCAGACGGTCCTGGAAGTGGCGGTGCTAGTGGACTCAAGATCGTGGGAGCTGCGGGTGGGAGTCTCTGATGGTTGTATGTTTAACGTACTGTGCGATTAGCTGTCACCGGATGCCTGGTTTACTGTATTCCGCAGAAAGGTTGAATTCTTCAGCCAACAGCTAGGAGCTTCCTCAACATGATTTATATACCCATGATATCGCTGTCTGACAGTAAATATACATAGTCAGGCTTGTTGATAAAAAAAAAAAATTCATAAGTCGCTAACTAGAATCATGGAAAAGGACTGGAAAGAAGATAGAATTGGTTTGAGTCCAGAGAGGACCCCGGCTGTATTTATCTAATATGGTAATACGCTGAGAGGAGTAACACTAGTCCTAAAGCCGCATGCAAAGCCTTTCGTTCCCTTCGTGAGCACCATAAGTTCAGCACGTATTAGAAATGCCAGAGTAACTCGTTATCGCAATTCGGCTACATCGGGACTCAAGATGCGAACAGACATCTGCCGTCGTACAAGTTGTGCAAGCAGCAAGGGCCGCATGAATATGCAGGTGTAGTCGATTGTGGAGTGGGAATTGACCACCTCATAGGTGATGTAAGAAACAAAGTCCAAGATTTAGAGTAGAGTGATCTATCAGAAAAGCCCAAGGGCGACAAATGCAGATACAACTTCGCGGTCGACGTTGAGGAGCCATTCGTCTTGGAATCGTTGTTCACCACCGCATCCAACAACCAACGAGCGCAGTCGATCTCGGATGAAGTCGCGAATGCTGATCTTGTGAAGGATGTCAGAGTTTTCCCAGTGACGTTTGCGCTCGTTCTCGGGAGGTTCATTCTCATCCCACTTGCCAGTTTCTGCGTTATTCCAGTAGACCAGATGGTCGCCAGCACGGGGGTCATTGTCCGTCTCGGTTCCTTCGGCGAGCTCGGTGACAATGTCTGCCCATGTGTTGAGATAGGATTGGAGATGACTAAGTATGTATGGTGGTGGTTGTGTGTCTGGGCCATTTAGGTTGAGTAGTTGGGTGAGTGCAAGCGCATGGAGTTTCTTTTGCGTTGTGCTTCCGATATTGTCATAGTGGAGGAACCATTCTGTGAGCAGCCAGGTAAGGGTCTGTTCTTCAGATGTGCCCGTCGCGGCGGAAACGGCTGATGCGAAGATCTTTGGGTACGCCAGTGCTAAGCGGGCAAGGACGGAGAAATAGTCCGTCTCAACGACGCCATATACAGATGTTTGTTTTCTGTTAGGTCCGGTAGTCTGGCTGGCCTCATGGGCGGAGTAGAGGCCTTCCAGGAGAGATGATAGGAAGGAACTATCGAGGAGCGATCGCGCGATAACATTATATGAGTTTTCGCTGCCGCCATCCACGGCCTCAGTGCCACGTATTATTAGCTCGACCAAGCGTGGCACGACGCCGAGGCGTTGGCGTGTGGTAGATTTCAAGAGACTCTCAAGAGAAGCAAGGAAAGGAAGTCGTACTCGGTCACTGAGCACCTCTTGTGGCGCAAGGTAGACATATGATTCTGCGATTTGAAGGGCTTGCGGTACACTATCCGTGGCGTCTTCAAAAATGGGGAGAAGTGCAGGAAGCAGAGAAAGGATTTCAGGAGAAGCTGGGGCTGGAGTTTGCGCCAAAATAGCACCCCAGAGGTCTAGTGCCTCGTCGAGCAGGTATACCAGTGTTTCCTGTGAGCGAATTAGTATTCCTGCACGGATCAATTCAATAAGGAGTAAGACGTACAGAGCCTGGCTCCACTGAGCTCTGAATGAGAGGTAGGATAAGAGAGTGGTATCGCACTGAATCCTGCTTAAGGGAGTTGATCAACGATGACAGTAAGGTAAGAATAGCCTGTTTCATGAGATGCTCCTCCCCGGAACTTTCCCATAGCGGGGGTAACAACGACAGTATCTGATCTGAGAACGGGGCAATCTGGGGGGTCATTAGCATACCCGTGTGGAGGTAACGAGGTATAGGAAAATTCATACATGGTCTTCCATCTTGATTACAGCCACGCGGACCGTATCTAAAAGTCCCATCTTGGTTTCAGAGAGTTCAACCTCTTGAACCAAGGACATCAAGTCGTGGAGGATGGAGGGAGCATAGGGCAGAAAGCCAGTGGGGGAGAACTCGAACGGATCTAACACGTTCTTTAGCTGTCTACCGGCTGTGATGCGGACTACCAAGTCGTTCAACGGATCTTGCTTGCTAAGAAGGTGCTGGAAGATCTGATAGATGGCAGCTGTGTTCAGCTCGCTCGACTTGACTGGGACCCACTGGCCCAAGAGAATTGCAATTCTCCGTCTCAAAACGTTATAGCCCTGCTCTTGAATCTGCACTTCTGGGACAAGTGTTGTCTCTAAGAATTTGTTGAAATCCAAATGCTGCTCGAGACTTGCGGAGGCAAGCCCGATCGCTGAGTATAATGAATCTTTCAGTAGCACATCACGATTTTCGGGACCTGGTAGTATCTTGTCAACAACAGAGTCCAGCTGCGCCTTATGGTTTCAGGTACTTACTTGCAAAGTTGTAGAAGACGGCTAAAAGTCGCGGGATGAGCAGGTCTTTAAAATGGATGACCAGATCAAGGAAAAGCTTCTCGGAACATGATCGAATAGAGAACTCCCAAGCGTCGGAAACATCTTCTTCTTTCCGTTCCCACTCTTCAGGGTCTTCCTCCCATTCTTGGAAATCGCTTGTTCTGAACCGGAAGAACTGTGTGACGAGGAGCTCCATGACATTGACCACAAAGTCGTGGGTAAAGAGTTCTGCCTTGATAAGTTCAATGGACCGCTTTTTCTCCTCTTTATCTTCAGGGGTCTGGTACTTGAAGGTCTGAGCTGGGTTGAATGCCATTTTGGAACAAGCTCTGATCAGAAGAAGGGCTTTAAGCCCAGCTTTTTCCATCAGCGACTTTCTATCTTGTTCACCAGTTGCGCCTAGCTGTCCATAGTTCTCCCCTAATTTAACCACTAGACTCCAATATGATCGGACGAGGGGAATACTGTCTGGTAGCAATGCGAAAGAGGCAGCACGATCCTTGGCCATCTCGACGTGGAGCTTCGATAGCTGTAAAATATGTTTTTCGACCGCCTTCTGCACATTCTCTGGCAGATTAATGGAACCGCTGATGAAGTGAAGGAAGCGACTCAAGTGAGAATGTGTCAAAAGCCAAAAATCTTTGACTTCGTTATGACGGTTGGGGTGTTCATATCCAGCTATCACAAGGCGCCTAACGACCTTGAGAGACACTAGACTTTGTTCAAGACTCTCCAACAATGCGCCTTCGTCAGCACCGCCCTGTTCTAAAAGCGATGCCCATTTGTTCACTTTGTCCACATATATACTTCCCAGAAGATGGAAGATCTCTGGAGCAACAGATTGAAGATTGGTTCGTGTCCTTTGCAACCGTGCTGTTGATAGCTCCTTCGTTATCTGCAAGATGATTGTAAGGGTTCGTGGCAATTGCACTGGGTTGGCGCCTGGCTGTATTGAGGAACGGAGGAAGTTTATAAGCGATGAGATACCGTCGGGCCTTGATGAAACAGTTAGAGGGACAGCCACCAAGTTTAAAGAGAAAGAATACGCACCAGTCTTGAGGGAACTCATAGCGCATAATCTTGGAGATCATTAATGCATTGTGAAGAGCTAGAAGAGCCGCGGGCTCCACGACACCCGCTTGTAAGGCTCTAGTCTTTATCTGCTCTTTTTCTTCCTTTTTTATAGCGCTGTTAAAAATATTAGGAACTGCATCTTTCCACCGATTTAGGATTGTGACAGCACAGGCTTACTTTGTCGCGGTCTTTCGCCAGTACTTATCGATGCCGTTCTTCAATTGGATGATGGCAAGGTATCGGACTTCGTTGGGCACTGAGTGATCTAGGAAGACATCCTATAGAAATAAGTAAGGAAACAATTAAATATTGAAGGTTCAAATTACCTGGAGGGATGTATAGTATTTCTCCTGCTTTTCCCAGTTTTGCAATTGCTGGGTTCCAGTGTGCACCTGCTGCTGCGTCGAGCTTGCAGCCAGAACCAAGGCATTGAGAACATTCTGTGGAGTCAGAGGGTTTGACTCCCCGGGTAGCTCGACGACGTGAGCCATACTAAGGAGTGGCTGAAAGCTTGAGTTGGAGGTGAAAGCTATAGATAGCTATCAAGCAATTGAGTCCAACCCCCAATATCAGCCAAGAGAGAAACCTCCAAGTCACTGGGGAAACATAGAATATGGGGTTTGACCTGTTCCTTGAGATCCTATCTTGTGGCAAGATGTGAAAGATTACTATTGATAGGAAGAGTAACACGCAAAGAGCTCTCTCCGTTGTCCGTATACATTTGCCCGTATTCTTTGCTCCCCGCCTTAGCGGGACGCTCCGGAAAATTAATATTCCTTTCCGTTGTAGCCCTAGGGCTGGACCCTCAGCACTAGGCCAATACGGAACTTATACATAGGGCTGAGATAGCATCTGGCTGCATGACATCATCACTACAACTGAGCTCCATCTCCATTGCCAGGACTAATTACTCTATACAGTAGCAGTATGCAATGCATTCAGTTACATAGATATGATGTATTATGATGCAACATCTCTGTACTCCTGATGGACAGCTTTCAGTCATGGGTATATAGTTGGAAACGGCGCCTTTGCTGCTGGGCTCATAAGGGATTTTTTTAAACAAGCAAAACGCTACCTTATTCGAATAGTTTTATATCTTTGGGCCCTTTTAGTTACCTTTAGAGAACATCCACATACATAGCACAATGGCGGATTCAGACAAGCTTCGTATGGCATTCCGTGCTGAGCAAGACCTTAACTCTTATCAAATGAAGCAAGGTCTTGGACCGAAGAGCGACTCCGGTACGAAGAGCCTTGTTACATGTGTTGATTCATAGTGCTAAGAAAATATGAAGTCCTCGAGTCCAACATCGACGAAAGGGCGGATAATAAATTCCGTGAAGCAACGGGAATCAAAACTGGTCGAGAGGCAGGCGCTTCAGGGAGCAACCGGAAACCCATCCCCGAAGACGAGGGAGGCACCCGAGACTCTCGTGGAAGGTTGGTGTTTTCATTACACTTCTCTTTGGTTTAATCCGATGCTAATCATAATCAGATTGGCACCAGCTGGCGAATATGAAGGCACCGGAGGCCCTGAGGATAAGGTGAAGCTCGAGTCGGAACGCCGTCCGGGTGATCAAGACACACTTAACCTTCAGGATCTGAAGAATAAAGGACTTGCTCGGTAAAGATTCATACTAGAAAGCCTTTGAGACCATCAGAACATACTAGTTAGCATTATTTAGGTCATGATATAGTATGATGTGGTTAATCTAGACTCAGCCCTAAAGATACGTTAATTATCTATCATCTAATTAAGAGAAGGGTCTTGGAGAACCTATATGTTAGAACAAAAACATGCAATCTACTATTGGATAGGCATTCGCGGTTATGATTAAAAGTAAAGGAAGATGAATACATGACTTGGACAGCATATCGCCTTCTGAAAGAGTCTAGGCACATAGCCCAAGGGTCGGTTTTTGGACCCCACTCAGCACTACAGAGTAAAACAAAGAACAAACCACCGTCTTTCATGTACGAGAGATCCACCGTCATCCCTAGGACTGTGTAGTTCTAGTACTAGTACGGAGTAGTAGTGGGCTAATCCCCCCACATGGGCAGTGCTCCGATAGGTTTCTGCGTAAATACACCCGTTGGATGAGCGGCTGGATTCCGGTCATGGAAGTTGCTATGGACCTCATTTTTGAACATTCATTGGCCGTATCGTCTCCCAATATCCAATACAATGCTGTCGGGAGCCTACTAAGATTGTAGATCGATTTATGAGAGGTTCCACAGGGCTGGACTGCCCCGCTTCTTTCCTTTCTTTATTGATCCCTGCTATCCCTGCATGCTTTTATACGCCGAATTATCATGTCAGTCATTTTAATAATCCAATGCATCGATTTTTGTGGTTGGGCCGCCTTACGCCCGGACTTTGGACAAGACACTTTCGTCCGGCGCGAACAGAATATATAAAGCACTCGCTTTCCCCTCTACTAGAGCTCATCTCGTCTAACCCAAACCACACCCATCATACTTGCCAACATGTCATCTACTACCACTGATCAGCAGCCAATCGAGACCCGGCTCTTTATCAATGGCGAGGTAAGCATAGTCAGAATATCATGACTATAAGGCTTCGTGCTCACCAAGCGTCCTTCCGTACTCATAGTTTCAACCAGCTACGAGTGGGAAAACATTCAAGTTGATTAATCCATATACACATGAACCAGTTGCAGACGGTATTTTGCTGGCCCGGCCACCGATATTGCAAGGTGTGCTTATCCACAGGAGATGCTAACTCTCTCTTTTAGTCCATGAAGCAAGCGAGCAAGATGTGGACAAGGCTGTGGCAGCAGCCAAAGCTGCTTTCCCAGCTTGGAGAGACCTCACCCCGGATGATAGGGGTGTCTACTTGCGCAAACTGTCAAGTTTAATTAAGGAGAATATACCTGAATTGGCTCGTTTGGAGTCCATCTCTATGGGAAAGCCTGTATCGCTTTACATAGATGGCAAAATGGCTGCAGACACTTTTGCTTATTTTGCAGAGACTGGCTGGCACGCGCAAGGAACTAGCAGCGTGAATACCCCTGGCGTTCTTGGTCTTTCGCTTAGGCAGCCGTACGGCGTCGTTGGCGCTATCATCCCTTGGAATGTGCCACTGGGGCTTTTCTCCTTTAAGGTTGCCCCTGCTTTGGCCGCTGGAAACACTGTGGTGCTCAAGAGTAGCGAGAAGGCGCCCTTGACTGTAAGTTTTAGCCATTAATCCCTTCTTCAGGTATCTATTTCTTTTGACATATTTTTGTGGCAGTCTGCTTTCGCGGCCAAATTGATTGCAGAAGCTGGCTTCCCACCCGGCGTCGTCAACATCATCTCCGGCTTCGGGAACCCAGCCGGCAGTGCCATAGCATCGCATATGGATGTGCGCTGCCTGAGCTTCACTGGCTCCACAGCCACCGGTCAAAAAATCCAAATTGCAGCAGCCAAGTCTAACATGAAAGTGGTCCACTTGGAACTAGGCGGCAAAACACCCGCAATCATCTTCGAAGATGCAGATATCGAGAAGGCAGCAGAAAAGACTCAGTTCAGCATCCACTTCACGAGCGGACAAACCTGCTTCGCGAACTCCCGCATTTATGTGCAGGAGTCTGTTGCAGATAAATTCATATCAGTGTTCAAGGAGAAGTTTGGCGCCGCGTCGCGCATGGGCAACCCCCTCGAGCCGACGACGAACCACGGTCCGCAGGCAGACAATATTCAGTATGAGCGAGTTAAGTCGTACCTGGAGATCGGGGAAACGGACGGAAAGCTCACGCTGGGAGGTGATGGCGGAAAGGGCTTCATCAAGCCAACCGTCTTTGAGAATGTGCCCGATGACTCTCGGCTTATGAAAGAGGAGGTCTTTGGACCTGTTGTGGCGATCAATACGTTCAAGACTGAGGAGGAGGCGATTGAACGGGCTAATGCCTCCGAGTTTGGTCTTTATGCCTCTGTTTTTACGAAGGATATGGATCGTGCAATACGGCTGTCTAAGCTTCTCGAGGCAGGTACGGTCGGTGTCAACTGTACGAGTCCCAGTATGGTGAAGGATATGCCAATGGGCGGATACAAGCAGAGCGGCTTGGGTCGGGAGGGTTTGTTGAGCGGCTTGGACAGCTACCTGGAGACAAAAACTGTTTTGATCAGTACTAGCTCTTGATGCACTCACATATAACGTACTCAAAAATCTTGTAAGAACGGTGGATAGCAAACTTTACATTTTTGAATACAATAGGAAACTTGACTTTTAACTACAGTTCTCAATCAAAAAGTCCTACTAAGGAGGCCCAACAGAATGAGGGTGGGAGCGAAGAGCTATTAGATATTCTTCCTCCGGGCCGGAGAACACTGATAGCTACTAAGAAAGGATGTCGTAGACCGCTACCTAGGTAAATGAGAAGGCAGAAGTACGCTTTACTACAGAAGTCTACGATTTCCATATGTGGTTGTGTCACTATGTTAATTCTCTTGTGCTCACGGCATCATTTATGTAGTCATTATAAATCTGCTTTTTCTATAATATAAAACTTTCAAACACGGCCTGCTGGCAAACTTAAAATAAGTACATATATAGAGACATATCGCATAACATTGCCTTAGAAAAGACAAAACAGAAGGCCAATCAACATACCGGAAATAGATCCAACAGCGGGCGTACCGAAGGGAATAGCAACGTTGGGCGTAGGGGTCGATGAGGAAGAAGATCCACTGTTGCTCGTACCCTTCTTGGTTGCGGTGACCTTGACGTTGTAACCGCTCTTAGAATCGTAGGGGAAGGGGCTCGTGTAGTTGTAAGTCGCAGTGGTTCCCTTATAGGTCTCCTTGACAATGTCCAGAATTCCATGACCAGCCGAGCAGTTTCCGCTAGTCAAGGCGTTGGGCCACACAGGCGAGAACTTGGAGTACTCGCCAGAGGACATAGGTCCGGGATATGTCTCGTTGAGACGAAGGTTTGTAGTGTCAACATCATAGTTGACATAGCCAGTCTTGTTGGCCACAATCTCAAGGATATTGGCACCACAATCCCATCGGCCAAGGGATGGCAGACCCCAGTTGGCTGACATGGAAGCGATGATCGAATAGTGAGTATAAAACGTATCATCAGTGGTGCCCTTCAGGTGGCCAGGGATGGCTCCACCCAAGAGAATGCTCATAATCTTATTTCCCTTGGGGTAGGTCTTGTCTTCGTCAAAAGTGAGAAGAAGCAGAGTGTTTTCCATAAAATAGGAGTTGTCGAGCAACTGGGAAACCCAGGTACGTTCCCACTTAGCGGCAAAAGTGATGTTGGTATCGTGCGCATCGTTGGTCATGTTGGGGGTAATGAAAGCGTACTGAGGAAGCTTCTTATCGGTTAGGTCGTCCTCAAAGTTGGTGAAGTTTTTGATTTGACGCAGACGCGTGCTGTTCTTGGTGACCGAGTCAAAGAGAACCAACGGGTTGTGCTTGCGCACGTAATCATTGGCATAAGTCTCCTGGTTGGAGTAGTTGTATCCCTGGAAGCCAGGGTAAGGCAAATGTTCCTGGTACTCACCCCAGGAAATGTGCTTAGTGTCGAACAAGTCGGCGATGGTCGAGACGTTAGCCGGGATCTGGTTGAAATTATCATTGTCCATGCCAAACGTGTCACCTCCGGCGGAAGCGCAGTAGTTGGGCTCAGAGGGATGGGTAACTGCAAAGAAATTGGTGCTTGGATAGTCAGCAAGGAATTTCGAAAGTTGAGCAAGCATCAACAAGCAAGTCTTACAGAGTGATTCCTTGCTTGGCCAGCCATTGGTAGTTCTCATCGGCAGACGCATCCGAGTAGTCCTATGAAATATATGCGTTAGGATGTAAGGGGGACAAGAATTAGGGTACGTCACATACAATGTTTTCCAACCAAACTTGGAAGAATCTGTCAAAGGCCAGGCCAGCCACATTGGATACAGGAGAGTAGGGCTCGGTGGTAGCCGCAGCCTTTTCAATGTCTGATAGGGAAGGTTCACTCTGCGTGGCCGTCTGGGCATAGGCCAAAGAGGCTGCGAATAAACTTGCAACGAAGGACTTCATCTTTGACATCTATGTGGTCTCTTCTTGTCAAGAGATTGTCCCTTTCACCGATACAAGAGGAAAAATGCAAAGAATGATCAGCAAAGGGGGCGCGACAACCTGTCTTTATAGGCAGGAGCGAGGAAAATTCTATCGCATAGGACCATGTGCTATGCGCACGAGGTCAGTAGGGCAGATTGTAGTGTACCTGGTACTTCTAGTAGTATATTGCGCTACTGCGGAGTTGTATCCACCAAGGTAGTTAGATAATTGAGCGTGTAGAACCACGAGGTCAGGGAAGCTTGTTTCATTCGACGGCTGCCATTTCGGCTAATTGAACCGCAGGCAACCGTTCAATCGCTTAGTAGTATTGTTTGTAAAAACTAGTCTGGGATTGGGTCGCGGGGTGGGACAGAACGAAGGAAGTTCAGGGCCCCCTTGCAGTACAGACAGGAATACTCCGGAGGACATGCGACAACGACTCGATCCCGGCAAAGTGGGGCCCGGAATCAGGTCTGGGCGAATGCTTATCCACACCCTCGGTGGGGTCGAAAGTCTGGAGGATTGGGAGGGTAGCACGTGCGCCATCTTCTGGTTGATAATTCCAGCCCCTAGTACAGTAGTACCATATGTCCATTTGGAGTGGAGTAATCAAACATGGATAGGATAAGACGATGCTACCATAATAGTAGCAGTGACCACGTACTGCACCTAATACCTTCAGGGCTGACCGGTCCGGCTCGGTCGGAATGGAAGCACGAGCCTTGCACTGCTTCAATGCCAACGTTGTTGCAATTTACAAACTATCGCATGACCAACTACAGGGTATCATAACATTCTTCCCGTCATGTATCCATCCATTCCGACAAAGGCACGCGCCAATTTGCGAAGTCCTTAATGGATATATACAAACTAAAGAATATATCATTCTGTGGCTGACAACCACTCCCGATATGTATGTATGATAACAGCCAGATCAAAATCTTGGAGTGCTGATATCATGATACTGTCGGGTTTCTTTCCATTTTTCAACCCCATACTACTGCACAAGTTTCTTACATACCATGCCAATAGGAGTAGCTTAAATTGCAGGTGGATAAAGGCCTTCTCTAAGACATGCTAGGCAATTGAGCACACACACACACACACACACACATGTAATGCCCTTACGTGTACGTATACAATAAACCCTGATCGGAGCGTTGAAAAAGGGTATCTACTCTCCTAGGGTGAATAAAAATGCTCAGACACCGTGCGGATGTCGTGGGATTCTCGGTGTTCTTATGATGATCCATCTTTCAGCGAGCCCTGGAGGCATAATCAATCGCCCTAATCAACAAAAAGGGATCAATCCGAGATAGGTTCTCCATTCGGATCATGCCTAGAGTGATGTCACTTCTATAGCTGTGTCAATTACGGGTAGGCATCTTATATATCCCAGATTTAATTCGGGTTTAACGATAGTTCTGCCAACCCAAACTCACCTTAGAACACACCGCAATGAAAGAATCCATTGACTTCTGCTCAATACAGAAATATCCTCCAATCTATAGAATATCCGTGGAAAGAGATTCCAAGGGTTTTCTAACAAACGAACTAGTTTTGAAGTTCCACTCGGAACAGGCCTAGTATTTATGCCATTTACCTTACACGGCCATCCGCATCCTGTACTCTTAAGTAAATATATATTGCTTTCTCTTCTTCCTCATTCTTAAGAAAGGCAGAGTTAGTCCCATCAGAATCAACTTCCACCAACTGAATATAAAATGACGGTCGACAACCGTGAACGATCACGTGGTTCGTTTCGACCTCGGCAGATCGAAGTCCGATCTGGGGAACCGGCCGACAGCATTGGCCTCCGCAACCGCCTGCTGTTTCCCGCTCACATTGTTGACTCCCTCGTTTACAAAACGATTTCTCTTGATAAAACACCATGATTATACAATGAGCTCGACAAATTTTGCCGCTGCTCAGGAGCGCGTTCTGGAACGTCGTCGTCTCCGCGAAGCCGAAGCTCGCGCTAGATTTGCGGAACAGCAGCGGACGTCCCCGGTTAACCATCCCGCGTTGCAGAGACTCCCTTATCCTTTGAATAGAATACCTGTCTCAGGCCTCTCATTATGGAATACGATAAAAGGTCGCGAGGGTAATAGGCCTGCTTTCCGTGTTGGACAGGTCGATGCTGAACTCTTGGACGAGGAACTGCTGGGGTTACTGAAAGAGCAAGTCGGAAATGCTTTGAAGTATTTTGGTGTAGGTTGCTCTCGTCTGTATTCAACATTTTATTATATGGTGTCCGCTAATGTTCCGAGATTATAGCCCCAGGCCCGTGAGGATTGGTCCCACGAAATCCAGTTTGCTCTACGTGCAATCTTGTTCAAGCTCTCGATTTGGGATCACGATGCATCTTATGGTGCGGCCTTACAAAATTTGAAGTACGTAGACACTCGCAGCAAGGGCCCAATTCATTCAGCTCCGACAAAGTGGCAGAAGTCTGTGTATGGCCTACTCACAGTCGGTGGTCGCTACGCCTGGGAGAAATGGGAAAGTTGGTTGATCAACCAAGAAGGCGGCTATGACGAGGTGAGTGCTGATGGCAACCCTTCAGTTATACATTATGCTCATATTAGTAGCCGTCTCGAGAAGTGCGTATGCTGGCTCGTATGACAGATCTCGTTTCCACGACACACTCGATCGCGGCTTTTATCTCTTTCCTTGTATTCCTAGTCAACGGCCGATACCGAACATTAGTCGACCGCATCCTTCGCATACGCCTCACACCTCCCTCCGCACAGGCAAGCCGCGAGGTTTCATTCGAATACTTGAATCGACAACTTGTATGGCACGCATTCACGGAGTTCCTTTTGTTTCTGCTACCACTTGTGGGAATCAGCAGATGGCGACGATGGATATCTCGAGCATGGCGGAAAACAATGTCTAGTATTAGATCGAGCGATGGAGATTCTGAAGAAACTGAGAAGCAAGGAGAGTTAGCATTCCTTCCCGAAAGGACCTGCGCTATATGTTACAAAGCGAGCAATCCAGAGTCCGCAACAGAAAGCGAAGTGATCGCTGCATCGGCGGCCTCTGGGGGAATCCTCGGGTCTGCCCAGACGGATATTACAAATCCTTATGAGGCAATCCCATGTGGCTGCGTATACTGCTTCGTCTGTCTGGTGCAAAAGGTCGAAGGTGAGGAAGGAGAGGGCTGGATTTGTCTCCGCTGCGGTGAGATTGTTAAGAAATGCAAACCCTGGCACGGCGATGTTCTCGAGGAGGCTCGACCTCAATCAAGCTCAGGGAAAATGGTTGGCTTTGCTGTAGACGATGATTCTGGTGTCCATCATATTGAGTCTGAGAAGGGGGTGGATGATTCCGTTGAGAAATCAGCCCTACTGCAGGATCCTACGTCGGATGAAGGGCTACAGCACTCTGGCCAGTGGTCTACAATTGACCGAGAATCAGATTAATGTGGCAGGATAGCATACTCGTCAGAAAGCGACAGGCGTCAATCACTTCATTCTCATAATATGATACGATGAATTATTATTATTATTACTAGGAGTCAGCTTTTATCAAAGATACCCAGTTGCACTGGCCCTTTAGCTTTCTTGATTATCCATCTAGGACTTACTAAAAGCACTATGTACCCTTCCAGTACCCTATATTGCCTTTGGCATATACAGATCCCGTGGACCTAGAGGGGCTGTGTTTTCTCGACCCGAGTACGCAAATATGTACGATCCACTGGCCTTGAATCTGAGTGCTTTGCCGGGTTGAGAATCTACTAGAGCTACCTATTGAAACGTGTATGCACATACATGCACAGTATACGGATACATTAGCCTGGAGAAAGGATGTATCCCTATTGTCATCAGTGTTCGAAAGTTCCCCACTTTATACCCGGGCCATTGTCAAATCATAGCCTGCAATTGAAGTATACTCATCAAAAACAGCGACTAATAGGATTAATTCCGATTATTCAACTTCCCCCGCAACGGACATGTCGCCGATGCTACTTACGGAGACACGTACCAACTCCGATTTACCGGAAGATGAGGGGCTCACTTCCACCGAACATCACTCTACCGTCTTTATATTTTATAAGCTGTATTGTCCCTCTCTACTGTCGATCTAAGACATAGGGTCATTTGAGCTGTCCTGAAGCATCCAACGGCAATCTCTATTCGAGCTGTTCAACGTTCGCCATGGATTCCTCCAAACCCGTCTCCTCCACTTTTGGAGAGGCGAAATACATCGAATTTCCCTGTCTTCCAGAGGGCACGAAGCATGAGGATGGAACGCTTGCACTGAACCGCTACTCTTCAACCATTACTAGAGGCCATGACTTTCCGGGCGCGAAGGTAGATAGTTCCCTTGAGAACTTGGAGCTTGATCCCGATCGTGCTGACAGCAACTTCCCTTTCTACTAGGCAATGCTCTATGCTGCAGGGGTTCCTGACCAGAACGCTATGGCAAAGAGTCCTCAGGTAGGAATTGCGTCTGTGTGGTGGGAAGGAAATCCGTGTAACATGCACCTGCTGGATATGGGCAAGACGGTGAAGAAGTCCGTCGAGGGCCAGGGCATGATCGGTTGGCAATATAACACCATTGGCGTTTCAGATGCCATCACCATGGGCAGTGAAGGTCAGTGACTTGGAAGACTACTCGTGAGGTACATCGAAGACATACCTGACACTACAACAGGCATGAGGTTTTCTCTCCAAACACGTGAGGTCATTGCAGATAGTGTCGAGACCGTGACATGTGCTCAGTACCACGATGCCTGCATTGCCATCCCCGGGTGCGACAAAAACATGCCTGGAGTGGTGATGGGTATGGCCAGGCATAACCGGCCCTCCATCATGGTCTACGGCGGGACTATCCAGATTGGGTATTCCAACCTCCTACGAAAGCCAATCAACGTTTCAAGTTGCTTCGAAGCCGCCGGGGCTTATTCATATGATACTTTGCGTCAGCCGGACGATGGAGGAGACACCAGTAAGACCAAGGATGAGATCATGGATGATCTTGAGAGACATGCCTGTCCCAGTGCGGGCGCATGTGGAGGCATGTTCACTGCGAACACAATGGCCACAGCTATCGAGTCGATGGGCTTGTCTTTGCCTGGCTCCTCTTCTACCCCCGCTACATCTCCATCGAAAATGCGAGAGTGTGTTAAGGTGGCGGAAGCGATTAAAGTTTGCATGGAAAAGAATATAAGACCGCGTGACCTTTTGACTAAGCGGTCCTTCGAAAATGCCCTCGTCATGACGATGGCTCTTGGGGGAAGCACCAACGGTGTGCTCCACTTCCTTGCCATGGCTCGGACAGCTGGTGTAGAACTCACTCTGGATGATATTCAGAGGGTCAGTAACAAGATTCCATTCATTGCCGACCTTTCCCCCAGCGGAAAATACTACATGGCGGACTTGTACGATATTGGAGGCGTCCCGTCTGTTCAGAAGCTGTTGATTGCAGGGGGCTTGCTTGATGGCGATATTCCAACGGTTACTGGAAAGACTCTAGCCGAGAACGTGGCGTCGTTCCCATCGTTGCCGGACGATCAGGTTATTATTCGTCCTTTAGACAACCCTATTAAGGCAACTGGCCACCTTCAGATCCTCCGTGGAAACCTAGCCCCCGGAGGCGCTGTGGCCAAAATCACCGGCAAAGAGGGCACTAAGTTTGTAGGCAAGGCGCGAGTGTTTGATAAGGAGTATCAGCTTAATGATGCACTCAACCAGGGAAAAATACCCCGTGATGAGAATCTAGTGATCATCGTCCGCTATGAGGGCCCCAAGGGCGGACCAGGAATGCCGGAACAACTCAAGGCCAGCGCGGCATTGATGGGAGCCAAGCTTACCAACGTGGCACTGATCACTGATGGAAGATACTCAGGGGCAAGTCATGGGTTCATCGTCGGCCACATCGTACCGGAAGCCGCGGTAGGAGGGCCAATCGCTGTTGTCCGCGATGGGGACGTGGTCACCATCAATGCAGAGACCAACGAAATTAGCATGGATGTCTCGGATGAAGAAATTCAGCAACGGTTGAGAGAGTGGAATCCTCCCGCACCGCACGTTACACGCGGTGTGCTGGCTAAGTATGCCCGGCTGGTTGGAGATGCTTCCCATGGCGCAATGACAGACCTTTTTTAAGATATTTTAGGTACATGGTAGTAATGATTATGAATAAAACTGTATACGATTCCTTTACGAGCCGGCCATGCCATCATGTTCAATAATTATGTGTCAAGCGGGCCCGTGCATCAGCCCCCTGTACAGAGGGAGTGCCATACTGAATCCATGGCGATAGGAGATCGACTTATGGCTGAACCGAATACAGCAAATGCAACTCCGGTTTCAAATACTTGTTTGGCATAGATGTATCGTCAACTACAGGAGTATACAGCTTCCATTGGGGACGCCTGTTCCAGGGCCTCCTACATACTACAGTGACAGAATGGCAGTAAAAAAACAATCGAACGTAGTATGTGTAGCTCGACTCCCGCTATAAACAGCAGAATAGGAAGATAACCAACTCGATCTAATCAATAGTACTACCTACAGAGGATATGTCCTATTTTTACTGTATAGAGCATTCCCAATGTTCCATGATCGATGACGTCCCTGCTGAGTCAGTGCAGCCACGAGATGCAGACTGACGCCATGAGTGGGCAACGGTGGATGACTCATCCTCGCCGATCCTCCACGGTGCTGGTTCCGAGCCTGTGACAGGCCGACGATGTATTTTTTGCTCCAACAAACAAGCTCCACGAGAACCAGAGCTAAACACCATCACTTCCTCAGCAAGGAGTCGCGTTCCTATTTTGACCACTAACAGGTGACCAGGGAGAAGCGACGTCTCACAGGGCCGGACCCTTTCGCATTGATCCCTTCAGGTAAGATGCTATGTTGTGTTGTTTGTCGCACAAAGTACCCGCTCGTACTGCCTCTGAACGTGGTGCGAATTCTTTGCAAGTAACCTTGGTTCTAGCTAACCATTCTTCCAATGATCGTAGCATATATCCCACGTTTCCCCTCGTCTCCTGGAATATACCATTAATCCGTGTGGCCTGTATCTGGGCCTTACTGTCTTGCCCGCCTCCTGGGATAGAGTCAACTCGTCATTGGGAACTTCTCGGAGAATCAATAGTCGCTCCTTTCTTGGCTTTGCCTCAAACTGTGGATCTCCCAGATTTCCCCGGAGCGCCCAAAGATAGACTGAAGACCAACGTGTTGCATGCTTGTCATCTATTGGTCCGAGTACTCTCGGCGGGCGCACTCATAGATACAAACCAAGAACATCGGGTCGCGACCTCTCCGGCTCTCCCTTACCTCTTCTGAGAGATCCAAACTGTAATTTGGATTCGTCTCACCATCTGAGACGGTGAATTGCTTTGATTGACCCGCTTATTTGCCTCACTTTTGCGCTAAACCCGGATCTATCCACCAAAGAGGTTCCGCCCTTTCATCTCGTGTAGATTCCAAGTGCATTCCAGAACACCTCCCCCGTAATCACACAAGGATCGCCCGGGTGAGCTGTTTGGCACTAGACATTGTGGCGTGGTAAACAGTGAGTGAATGAATGAATACGTTGTCCGGAAAGGGGGAGCTGTTCAGACTGGGCCAGATCGGCATCATTATAAGTTAAAGACTTGTCGCAATGGGGCCAACTGATTCGCCAATACTCCCTACGACTTCCCGTCTAAGCGTTTCGAATATTAGTGCTGTCATACGCTTCTGGGACTCTATCTACTCTGTTTTCGCCAACCCAAGTGCCTTACTTTCTTTCACTCGCCTTTCCCAAAACCTCGATCGTGATGGATTCTTGAGTTCACCCAAAGCCTTATTGCTGAGTACCTGCTTAATCATCATGGCTGGTTGTGGGTTCTTGTCCATGATTCTGCGACGCAAGAGCTCTGGGCGGACTTCGGGGAACAAACGTTGTCGCCGGGCTGCTCGTCGAAATGCCTCCAAATCGTCCGCTGGAACTTTTACCTCGTCCGAAGACGAAGGGTATGATAGCAGTGGATCATTGCGACATGGCACAGACAGCACCTTCTCTGCAGAGAAGACGGAGCCTCAACGCCGTGAGCTGTCAGATGATGGTCTGCGCATCCCTAACCCTACCCTGCTATCGACCTTTGCTGACGGGCAAGTAGCGCAAACCACAGATCCTGGCCTGCTCAAGAAACATTCAACATATATATCCTACACTACATCTGTCGCAACATATCCGTCCATAAGAACTTTTCACAAGCCGCATCCACAGAAGGACAAGTTGCCGATAAAACCATCTCCAATCCCGTTGCTGGTCTTTGTGCACGGCTTGGGTGGCTCGCTAGCCCAATTCAATCATCTGCTGACCAGCTTGTCTAACGTCGGGCCGTGCTTCGGAATAGATCTGCCCGGTTGCGGATTGTCGAAGTTTGAGCCTGCTTCTTGGGATGCGTATAAGGTCGAAGCGCTTGCAGAACTGCTTGCGACCGCTATTGAAGAGCATCGTGATAAAGACGCCGGTCAGGGGGTGGTCTTAATTGCCCACAGTTTGGGCTGTTCCCTTTCAGCAATGTTGGCATCCGCGACCTCTCCTGTGGGGCCCAACTTGAAGAAGCATATTCTCGGGCTCATCGCTGTCTGTCCCCGCGCGTCGCCCCCATCTTTCAAAGAAGTTACGTCTTTCCGCCGCCTCCTCAACATACCGGGTCCGATCTTTGACCTTTGGCGATACTGGGATCGACGAGGCGGTCTGAAGAGCGCCAGTGTCAACCGGCTCGTCGGCGCAGATGCTGATTCCGATACAAGAGAACTCCAAGTGCGGTACAACAAACAAAGCAAGACACCTGTGTGGAGACGCATGGCCTGGGGTACTCTTCCCACGTATGACGGTGTCGATGGAACCGCTGTAGGAGGTATTCCAGGGGAGCAGACCTGGGCAGGAGTACAGACGCCAACCTTACTTGTGGCTGGCGAATCTGACACAGTGACGAAGCCTGCAGAATTGCAAAAAATTCTCGGATTCTTCGGGGGCAAAGGCTCAAAGGCTGAAGAAAGCAGCAACAGTAGCAACATTATTCCGGACGCTTCCGAAGTTGATAGCCAGGTTCCAGCCCCCTACAACCGCTTAGCCCACGAAGAGGAGTTTGGTGTTGAGCCTCAAGTGAATGAGAAGGAGATCGAGAACACTTCGGAGAAGCCACTTCAAGCTAAACGCTCTGTCAAGACAGTTATCCTGCCAGCTCCAGCCTCTCACGCTCTTCTTTACGATCGTGCGACATATCGCACTCTAGCTGGAATCATCCAAGACTTCCTTCAGCAGCACGTTGATAATCGACTGAGTCTCGGATGGCAGCTGCAGTATCTTAATACTTCGGGCAAGTGGGACGTGAAAAATCTAGCCAAGTGGAAGAAAGTCACCCCTGTTTCAGAGCGCATCTCCGACACATTCGTCGCGCTCAAAATGCTGCGCGAGGTTGATGAGGAACATAATCCTGTATTATTCTCCCAAGCTTATAATGGACGGATATACGCGGTGATCGATATTAGCTACGAAAACCCGGTGTATAACCCAGCCTCTTTGGAAAAGGGAGGCATCCATTACCACAAACATCCTACCGTGTCAAAGATCCCACCAACACCAGATGAGACACGAGACTTTATTGCCTTAGTCGATAGGCTTCAGAATGAGATTACAGAGAAAGTGGGAAAGTCTGGAAACCGGCAGACTCCACGCCCGGTAGTTGGGGTTCACTGCCATTATGGATACAATCGAACCGGTTTCTTGATTGTCTGCTATCTGATTGAACGTTGTGGGTATACCGTCCAGGAAGCAATTGACGAATTTGAAAGACGTCGTCCACCAGGCATCCGACATGGACATTTCATTGATACATTGTTCGTGCGATATTGTGTTGGGCTCAAGAGAGCACCGACTCTATAGAAGACAGATTAGGTCTGGGGTTCTCATCCTTCTGCTGGTTGCTATTTCTCTTTGTCTCTCTTCTTTTATTCTATTACTATTCTCTTTTCTTTTCATCTTCGGGACTATGTGGCGTTCGGCTTGGGTTCACGGCTTGGGATGGTGTAATGATGAGTTATGACAGCTAGTGCCTTTTTGATAGACTGTACAGTAGCCAGTGATAAATACCAATTCTAATTTTTGTCTTTCATGATTATCTTCAATAGTTGCTATGTAAGTACTGAATTGTACACTTAGAAGCAACACTAGCTCCCCCCATCTCTTCCTGCATGATCAAACTACGGCGTAAGTGACTAGTACGGAGTAGTTCAAGGCTAGTCGGGTACTAGGTCCAAGGTGTACGGTAAGTTTAGCCACTACCGTTTAGGGCCGTTCGGAGCCGTCATCTGTATCTCTATCGTGATGCCTGAGGCATAAATGTTTAGGGTTACGCTAGTCCATATACGGACCGATGATGATTAGTCACCCACAAACCCACAACGAGAAACCGCGTGATTGTCCGTCCGAAATTTCGAGGTTTGATCTGACCGACCGACTCTCCAACGACGACAACGACCCATCCTCTCACCTCGTCCCCTTTTCAGTACACCTTCGATTCCCGCTCGAGGTTCAAAGTCGCAAAAATGGGTGGTGTCACCGTTCGCGATGTGGACGTAAGTTGTCCTGTCCCCCCTGCACCTATACCTATATGTTCCTGAAGTCGATATGGCACCGGTATCTGGAAGAGGGGGAAACGGACGAGGGATCAACATTGCAAGGCAGGGAGTGAGGGGCAGAAATCTTGGGATGTTCTGGACGTGCTGGGTTATTGTGGGCACTGGTTTATGTGGACGACATAGATATGCCTCAATCGGATCGCAAAGCATCGATTGATGGGATCTGCGACTGGGATGCATGGGATATACAACACCGCGATGGCCGCAACAAAGTCCGAGAATCAGATACCGGAATATTGCCAGAGGATCTTCAGGAACCAAAATTGCAACGTCAGATCAAGCTAAAAACTTATACTGACGAATTTTCGAACTACAGGCGCAGAAGTTCATCTCTGCTTACTCTGCGTTCTTGAAGCGTCAGGGAAAGCTTCCCATCCCTGGTGCGTAATTTAACTGATCTTGTCTCACGATCAATCGGAAACTGATAATCTATCCAGGATGGGTTGACACTGTCAAGACCTCTTGCTCCAACGAGCTCCCTCCCCAGAACGCTGACTGGTACGACTGAACCAACAACACCGTTTGTTGCGCTTCCGACACATCTGACAATTACTAGGTACTACGTCCGTGCCGCTGCCGTCGCTCGTCACATCTACCTCCGCAAGACCGTTGGTGTTGGCCGCCTCCGCAAGGTCCACGGCTCCGTCAAGAACCGTGGCTCCCGCCCCAACCACCACGTCGATGCCTCCGGCTCCGTCGACCGCAAGGTCATCCAGTCCCTCGAGAAGATCGGTGTCCTCGAGTTCGACGAGGAGAAGGGTGGCCGTCGCATTACCCAGTCCGGCCAGCGTGATCTTGACCGTATCGCCAAGACCACCGTTGACGAGGATGAGGAGGACGACGAGTAAATTAGCCTCGGATTAAAATAATGAAAAAGTCCTGATGTGTTCCACGTTGCCTCTTTTTTCCTTAATTTTTCCCTCTGGATACTAAATTTCCGGGTGAAAAATCGGGTTAAAAACGGTCGAGTACGCTTCGTCGGCATGGATCGAGTGGGATTGATGGCTATGGACTCAGGGAGAGGAATGAAGTTTCTTTATTGTTGCATATTACAATGTTCAATTTCCTGATGACTCGGGGGCCTACTACGGAGAATTCACCAACCTTGACTACCCAAAGACATCCATCTCTCTCTCCTTCCTATGTCTTATCGACATATCGCCTCGCCCTGATCCGATTCCCGACGGCATCTCGTGTTTCTCCCCAGGCCTGAAATATAGAGCACGTATGATATCAACTTGACAGATTCAAGCCTTGCATACGGGAGCGTAAGTTGAAACCGTAGAATGTATGTACAATTGTATCAATCAAGCTTCCTCTATCTATATCTACACATTATTTCTTCCCCGACTGCGCCGTAGGATCCTACAGTACCCAAAACGTCAGCCCCCTCGACCCGAAACTCAAGACCAACACAACAATAATAGATAAGAAGAACTCACCAAATAGACCTGATAGAACCGCATCTTCAACTCCTTCTCATCAAAAACCACCCGTCCAGCCCAGGGCACCTCAACCTCATTCTCCGGGTCCGCCTTCAGCACATACCTAACCGTCCCATAGAGCATCAACTCCCGCTCACCCCCGAAATAAACCTTCGTCGGGAAATGCTTCCTCGACTGCACATGCGTCCAGAGACCATGTCGGAGATTGAGGATTTCTATTTCCACGGAAATACATATGTCAGCTCAATGCACTCATCACCACTATAACGCTACCGTCCATTCTAAAATTACAAAGTAGACAAGGCCATTTCGGATCAAGACGGAATGAGAAGAAAAAGAAAAGAGTAGGTGTGCGGGGAGGGGGGAAGGGCAAGAAGGAGAACCAACCTTTCTCGCCATTCGCGACCTTCGACCCCATGATTAGTGTTGCATCGGGGGTGAAACTCTGGACGTATTTCTCGTGCAGGGATTCGGTGTCGCTCGTTGCGTAGAACGATTCCATGAAGGTTATCATGGAGTCGCCGTTGGGCGGGGTGAGGGTTGGGTTGGAGGCGAGGTTGTAGGACATTTTTGTTAACTGTGCTCTTCTTGTTTGGTGGGTTAATTGGGAGGGTATTTGGGTGTAAATATTATCAGGAATTGGGGGGTTATCTAGATGGCTTTTTATTGCGTTACGAGGGGTAAAT